TACCCGAGCAGTCGCTGTTTTTCACATTTTACGCTTGAGTTTTTAGAGTTAATCGAGAGGTTATTTCTCAGCTGCCAAAATGGTCTTCTAAACCTCATCAACGCGATCAAATTCTGCGTCTTTACATTCTCGAAGATTACAAGCAGTATTACATCTGTAAAAGATAGTTCCACAAAATTTTCACTGATCTCTGACCTACCTGTTGAAAACTAACTTCATGTTGGTTATAAATAAAATACTTTCTAATAAATGTGTTTGTCCAATATGAAGTTCATATGAACAGAGAAAAAAGAAGCCTTGAAAAACTACGGACGTTATTTCATTTAAATCAAAGCTTGTAACACGGTTACATTTATTTTTGTTCCTAGTCTGTTCTACACATCATAAGCTTTCGTCTGATGTATGATTTACTTCCACAGCTCTTTCTGTTCCAAAGCTATTGTAATTGAAATGTAGTATTTTGTACTCTATTTTCTACTCTAATCCTCAGCTTTGGGCATAGTTTGTTTTTGTCTGGTTAGTCATCTATTTATTCATGTATCTTTCCATACTGCTCTTAAATCGTGAACCAGATCGTGATTGAGAATAAATCATGTGATGTTGCGGTTGACTTTTCTCTTCTCACTCGCGTGCTTGTCGGATAATCAGATGATAGGATAGTTTTCGTCTCTACCCCAAGTAGTCGGTCTCACTTCGAATTCGCACATACAAGCCTCAAGTATAGCCGTTCGAGATACTGCGTCAAGGCCTTAATCTAGAATAGCCAAGTTATCCTGCATGAAAGTAGGTAGACATTTCAAGAACTTAACAGAAATGATGGAACTTCTCAGCCGAATTCTAAATTCTGGCTGAGAGCCTGAGGCTATCATCAGCAGCACATTAGTAGAAGTACATGCCATAAAATGCTACAAATATTCAGTGTTTGACAAATACAAACTCCTACTCGAGCAGGCTTAAAAAAGTTATGTAATTAGTTAAACCCATTTCCTCTCAAACAGAGTCAACTGATATTTTCGCCCAACCCGCCACATGACTTGTTACAGACGATTTTGTGCGTTACGATTCATTATTCTATACCTCAAAGTCTTCCATCTAAAGGATAGACAGATACAACCGATAAGAATTGGACAAACTCTGAAATTAGCGTCGAACATTCTAAAGCCACCTACCTGGAAGGAAACCCTAAATTTGCTTACTGTCCTTCTTGGGGAGATCCAAATAAACCCTCGAAAAACAGCCAAGAAACGCTCTTGAAATACTGAGAAGCATCTTGTCCAATCACCCTTCACTAGACGTTTAGCCAGAAACACCTTGAAAGTGAAAAGTCATATGTCGAGTCTCTGATTGGATGATTACTTATACTGCTACCATGTCCAGTAGCATTCCAGAGTTTTCGGGAAACCCAAGAACATCTAAAATACTATAAAAACTCTAGATTCTCTGTGCATGAATGAACCTTTGGAGTAAAGAGTTTTCTTCCACATTTCGCGCTTTATCTCTCGCGTTTAGGTCGTTGCACAGATTTAGCTTGGATGGTACTTGAAGAGCTTAGGAACCGAATCTAGCGTTTAACTAGAAATATTACCAGTTTTCTTGATTAATTAAGAGATACATGCCTCACGAATACGATCTCATCTTCGATAACTAACGTCCACGGTGAAGCTTTGTTTCTATTCAATAACCAGTTCCAAACAACGCTCCTCAGAAGAATGGCTAGACTTAAAGAACATCTGAATATCTACACGTGAGACACTTTGTATGCTCTTGTCCTATCTCACTGTTTGTGACTTTTAGCTATTTCCTTATATATTCGGTATTTTCACATTATAATGTCAAGATCAAATAATCTCTTTCATCTGGTACGCATATATATATTTGTATATTAATTTTCAAATAAAGTTTCGGCATAAAAATGAACGTTTGGATTTTGTTATTTAAAAAAATAATATACAAATATATGTGCATATTAGATGATGATTCCCCCGATTATTGAGTTGGATGCGTCTACAACGATACTGATTAGTGTTTTGATGTTTTAGTAATAAAGTGTTATTGTTTTAGGATAATGTCCTTGACCCTCGAGATTTATTTTTGCTGATCAAGTCAATCAATGCATTTTCACGCACTTGATCTGTTAAGGGCCTTATGAGTGACATGTGATTCAGTATGAACTGCCGATGAAAACGTGCCATACCGTTAAACGATTATAGATGCATGGCTTTGATCAGTTCCGAGTTATCCGAAATAGCCTTCACTTTGCTCTGTATGAGCTGAAAAACTTGAGAGTCAAAAGTATGCTCGAGATGGTCTGTGGAGTCGGTTCTGGTCTGAGTATTTACAGTAACATCATGTTTTGGGAGTTCTACATAGGTGAAGTTGCTGAATATCGAAACTTCGATCAAGCAGTCATGGATCTACAAGTCGATGAGGTTCAGACCCTTGCATGTGCTAGTGAAAAATCGGAAATTTTTGTGCAGTCTGCTACCCAGACTCATGTTTACAACCTTATGCTGTCTTCGCTGTCATGAAGTTCGAAAACACTAGCGAACATATTGTATGTGACGTACTGTTATAGTTATTCAGAAATGCCATCATTACTGCCAGGAATTGCACACGTGAGTCCGCAATGCCTTATCCATAGAAGCCATCTTCTGCATAGTAGAATCAAGCTTTGATGTTATCTGGCCAGAACAACATAGGCTAAAACGTGAGAAGGTGAGCGTAGGAGCCCTAATCTTGATGTTTACTCCATTCTCGCCAAACCGATTAGAATCTTCACGAACCAAAAGGGCTAGCAGCACGTCTGACGAGGAAAAGATTCCATTTTTTCGCTCTTAAATGGGCAAAGAGAATATCACAAAGTTATATAAGTCAAAGCATTTGGAAAGTAGTTATTCTAACATTAAAGTACAAACTACTTTCAGCACGTATGCATATGTTCTCTTTCCTCATGCAAAACTCAGAAATCCTGTGCTTATGCTGAACATTCTAACTTTGTGTTACCACACCTACGACACTTTCAAAGTACTAACAAGTGTCCTTTACATGTTCTACCGTATCATTAGTTAATGGGTGTGCCAACAGACAATCGCCTTCATTGGATGGTCTTTCAACCGCATGTAGTAGACTTTTAGCCACTCAACGTTCAATGATGAAATCATAAGCACATAGTTCTAAATCCCATTTCCGGACTATGGCAGATCACCAACAAATTGATTTTGCTGAGTCTTCAACACTGACACTGAACTCATTAGTTTTACAGGATACACCCTTCTCAAAGGTACGCGGTCAAGAAGGTGCATCAGACCATGCTTGGGAACACCGTACTACTCACTCCTCGCAATAACTAACTGGATAAGATCATACTTCTCCACATACTGACTATCTAAAATATATATCATTGAACTCCTAGATTGTTGACTTTTGGATCGTTAGTGAGAAAAATGTTGAAAACACAAGAGTTGTTAAGCCATGAAAATAATAGACATCTTTATGATTCTTTGTTTTGACCAAACCTCTCTACTAGAAACCTATTCGAAAAGTGGGGATGAAATGTGCATCACGTTAGGAACAAACCTGGAATAAAACTAAATAGCACCAACCCATGATATGAAAACTGAGTTATTCGTAGGTGATGATGGTTTAATTAATGGAGAAAAGTGATTCATATCAGGATGTTAAACCCCATATATTTACAGTCTAGCCCAAGAAGTTGATAAAATTAGGTCAAATCTGACACTTGTAAGAGTTTAGACCATATTTGCGTCACAAAAGCTTTAAATGCATGAATATGGACTGCCGATCACTAAATGGCAAAGTGGATCATCCTCAGTTCCTACTAAGTTGAAACATATTTCATAATTATGGCATAATCACAATATAAGAATCATGGCCAAATGATTTACAAGGTGACTGTTTGGTATCGCTACATGGTTTTAATATTTAGTGTCAAGATCTGCCACGTCATCAGAAAGTGTGGTTGCGATGTAGTTACATTCGCAAATATGTGGTGTCAATCTAATTTCAAAAATTCTAAGTCTTCTAACGCCTTAGTCGACTGTTTAAATATAAGACGCCATCCAAAACACTTGAAAAAATACAATTACGTTTATGTTATAAACATTTGCACAACCCCGGATAGACATCGCTCCCACTATCTGTTTTCACTGACGGATTCGAAGAATTTGCCGCAATCGCTTCCAAACCACTAAAACATACGGTCAGCATCCAATGTCGAAAACTTACAGGGCTATTTATTTTGGGGATTTAATTACCGCTACAGATCATTGGTGAGACCGACGTGATCTGGTACACCTAATTGCAACTGTGAGTCTGTTCTTTTTTGGGATTTTTATATATAATTGACTTGTTTTTTTTATTATTTTAAACATTGTGATTTTTTTCGTGTTTTTTCTTGGATATATATATATTTTCCCCTCGTTCATTATCGCACTTCATATTTCATCATGACTGAACAGACACCCAAAGTACTAAAGCTTAAGACATTGTCCCCGCCTTCGTTTCAACTCATGCCTTTCTGGCCCGACAACATCGAAGCCTAGTTTTGCTACGCAGAAGCCGACTTCTCCGAGCACGGCGTGAACGACGTACGTGCACAATTCCTCGCAGTAGTCAAGGCACTACCGCGCGAATTCAACAGGTACGTAACACCTAGTATGTTTACTAGTGATGTTTCTTAAACGAGGAGACCACGAGAGACGGATAAACCCGACTAGTGCTAGTATCATAACCAGTATGGAAAGTTTTCCAGAAATTGCAGAAAACCCTGCAATTTTCCCAACACGAAACCTGACTCGATAAACAATCGGGAAACTTCCAAGCCGGCACGCGTTAACGGCAACCGTAGCCGGCGAACATAGCCGTCTGTTATACGTCACAGATGTGACAACGAGAGTTCGCTACCTCGTCGACACTGGCGCAGAAGTTAGCGTTCTCCCAGCAAATCCTAACGACCGACTTCACGAATCGACTCTAAACTTACAGGCGGCAAACGGAAAACCGATCGCTACGTATGGCAAAAGGTACGTTTACCTTAACGTGGGTTTACGCAAACCCATCCACTGGATTTTCGTTGTTGCAGATGTTTCTATGCCAATCATTGGTATGGACCTTCTACAACACCACAATCTGATCATCGACACTCGCAAACGGAGGCTAGTAGACGGAAACACTAATTTGTCCGTTTGCGTAACTTCTTTTACTGGTTGTAGAGTATCCCCAGTCACAGTTAAGCATATGATAGACCCACTCTATCAACCACTACTCGATAAGTACCCTGGGATACAACAAACTCAACCGAAACTACCGTGTGTAACCAGCAATGTTACACATCACATCACGACTACAGGACCACCTGTATTCTCTAAAGCACGACGACTAGCTCCTGAAAAGCTAAGGTTAGCGAAAAACGAATTCGATCACATGATGGACTTAGGAATCATACGACCGTCAAGTAGCCCATATGCATCTCCGTTGCACATGGTCCCTAAAAAGGACAGCAACGATTGGCGTCCAACTGGCGACTATCGGCGATTGAACGCGAAAACCATTCCCGATCGTTACCCGTTGCCTCACATTCACGATTTGACAGCTACCTTGAAAGGTACAACTGTCTTTTCGAAAATCGACTTGGTTAAAGCGTATAACCAAATCCCTATGGCTACTGACGACATACCGAAAACAGCTATCATAACTCCCTTCGGACTCTATGAATTTTTGCGAATGCCTTTCGGTCTAAGGAATGCTGCTCAAACATTCCAAAGATTCATAGACGACGTTTTTCGAGGTCTCAACTTCGTACACGCGTATGTTGACGACTGTCTAATCGCAAGTCCGGACAGAGAAACACATCTCAAGCATCTGGATCTTGTTTTCGAACGATTACAAAAACATGGCATAACTGTAAACGTTCAGAAATGCCAATTCGGAACCGACTCGTTAGACTTTCTGGGACACACTATCGATGCTCAAGGTATCCGACCCCTTAGAACCAAAGTGGCGGCCATTCTGGATTACCCAGAACCGACCACCGTCAAGCAATTACGCACGTTTAACGGCCTGGTAAGTTTCTATAGACGTTTCATACCGAAATGCGCATTACTTATGAAACCTCTGACCGACCAACTTCGTGGAAATGCGAAATCCATTAATTTGGACGACACCGCACGAAAAGCATTCTCCACAGTTAAGGAACTGATCGCTAAAGCAACAATGCTCGCACATCAGGACACCGAAGCACCCATTAGTATCGCAGTAGACGCATCCGACTCGGCAATCGGAGGAGTCTTACAACAATGGGTTAACAACTCCTGGCAACCCTTGGCATTTTTCTCTAGAAGGTTGCTAGACACCGAATCGAGGTACAGCACATTCGGTAGGGAACTCCTAGCTATGTATTGTGCTGTACGGCATTTCCAACACTATATCGAAGGCCGTGAATTCACTCTTTTCACGGACCATAAACCGCTCACTTTCTCGTTAAGCTCTCCTTCGCCCAATCGTGCCGAAACGTCATCGACGCAACGTCTTCAATACGTTGCACAAACTTTCTCATCCAGGTGTCCGTGCAACCACCAAACTTATAGCAGAACGGTTTTGCTGGCCTGGCATGAATAAAGACGTGAGGGAGTGGGCACGCTCCTGTGTAAGCTGCCAAAAATCTAAGGTTATCAGACACAATAAATGTCCCTTAGGCTCGTTTAAAACTCCCGATGCTCGTTTCGACCATGTTCATCTGGATTTGGTAGGACCTTTACCAGATTCAAATGGATACTCTTACCTCTTAACCTGCGTAGACCGTTTCACTCGATGGCCAGAAGCAGTACTTATCAAGGACATCACTGCTGAAACAGTGGCCCGCACATTCGTCGAACGATGGGTAGCAAACTTCGGCTGCCCTTCAACCATCACTACATATCATGGACGTCAGTTTGAATCTGATCTTTTCCGTCGTCTGACCACACTTTTAGGAACCACTCGCTTCCGAACGACTGCCTACCACCCACAAGCAAACGGGTTGGTAGAACGCTTTCACCGACAACTAAAAGCTTCACTATCAGCTGCAAACGTTTCACAGTGGACCGACGCTCTTCCACTCGTCTTACTAGGTATCCGCAATGCAGTGAAAGCTGACATTGGATACACTGCGGCTCAACTCGTTTATGGAACGACACTTCGACTTCCAGGAGAATTCGTGGATCCTTCGTGCTCTTCGATGAACATGGATCTAACCTCCTACACGAACAGGCTTACAAACGCAATGCGTTCAGTTAAACCTGCTTCCACTCGACCTCAATCAACTGATGTTTTCGTTCAACCTGACTTACGATATAGTACACACGTTTTCGTTCGTCGAGACTCGCATCGACGACCATTCGAATCAGCATACGAAGGACCTTTCAAAGTTCTTCAACGTGAATCTAAGTACTATATAGTCGATAAGAACGGAACAAACGATAGCATCAGCATCGATCGCTTAGAAGCAGCGTATTTAGAAGGAAATCCTATTCACGTCGACTTTCCTTTGGTACAATCGCACAACACGACTCCTACACTCATAATTCCTCAACCGACAACCAACACTAGCGATGATACTCCGAATGTATCTGAAAACAAACTTAAAACGACGCGTTCTGGAAGAAGAGTTAGATTTCCAGAGCATTTAAACGACTATTGCACGTAAGGCACTACTAGACATTTAATATTATCTCGATCTTTCTTTTTAAGACATATTTTTTTTTAAAAAAAATTTAATATGCTTATATATTTATTTTTTATTCCAAAACAAAAACAAATAAAACAAATTTTTTTAACGATATTACGTGTAAATTAGTTTAGATTCCAATTTTTTTCGCCGACATTGTGTTTTTACGCACATACGAGTGTATTTCGACATGCACTTACATTTTCTTTTTTCTTTTCCAGGCCGGCTGGAAAACAACGATGACGTTTATGAGGAACTGAAATTTTCATTGTACATTTTCTTTTTTTACTATGTTGTACCTCGGTCCCATATAGTAAGGAAAGACGACCAGACGCTGCTAATCCTAGCAAGCTATCAGAAGAGTGTTTACCAACGACAAACTCGCTGGGTTTAAACTTCTGGCTGGCCACGTCTTAGGGTCATCACTAACCCACTAGGGGGGGATTGATCTGTAGCGGTAAATAAATCCCCAAAATAAATAGCCCTGTAAGTTTTCGACATTGGATGCTGACCAGATAGTTTTAGTGGACTCATCTAGCTGAAGGCGCTCGGTCAGGCATCCACACCAGATCACGTGTGGCAACGCCGTCCTCAACATCAACCGCAATCGCTAGCCAGATTAAATCAGTGAAATTCCGATATATTGGTAATCACCAAATACACTCTTCCGATCTCCTCGACTCTGTCTTTTGATTTCTCTGGGTGGGAACGAAATATATTAGGTGTTACTGGTAGAAGCGTTGTCAAACACTGAATACCTGTGACATCATCATCGTAAAGAACATACTCGTACAGCAAATATGAAAGTTAAATACAGGAAAATATCAAAAATACGAAAAACATTTTTCGTGCAACAAACTGGGGATTATTTACAAATGACGGACTGAAAAACACCCTTGATGCTGACACTTATTATCTTAAATTCTGTTTTGGTATTGTCACAGTGAAAATATCTTTGTAAGTTTTGGTTGAATTACATCTCCACAAGTAAAACGATTACGGAGGGTAAACGAAAAATATACAAGGAAAACTCTATCGAGGTTCGAAAGCTGAGTGGTTTAATAAACCAAGAAATCAGACATCTGAACTTGGTGTTTGCTCAGAAACCTCTTTCTTGTAAGATCTTCATGCATGTGGAAACTATTCAAAGAGATTACAGGTGGGAGATGTATTAATGACGATAAACAGCTGAATGTTTTTGACTCAAGAATGACTTCTGCACACCAATCATCTGTTGTGACGCTTCCTATATCCTGACATTGACGGTTGGATAACCAACTGACTGTGTTCCTACCTCTCTGGAAGAGAACGGTATTTTGTGATTGGAGGAAAGTGTTCAGATTCCCTACCATACGGTTAGTTTCACTGTATGTACAGAGATTTCTATCGCTCTACACACTAATGAAATGAATGAGTCTTCGTCTCGCATTGAACAACGGTCTGTTGTTAATGACCTCACATCAAATTGTCAACTGTAGCCTGAGATACGAGCAGCACATGAACACGCTACTGGGTTCCCACAAGGTTTGTACTATCGAAGATTTTTCAATAGTAGCAAAATCAAAGGTCGTTTGTCTTGGTATAATTTTCTTCTCTGGTCTTCTAATGTTTTAATTTTTCGGATAAATTTTTCCGTATGATTTAACACGTTAGGAGGTTGCGTGCTTTCGTCATTATTCTACATTTACTCTTACAATATGTCAATCCCTGCATATTACCTATTATTCTTTCCCGGGATTTCGAGAAAAGATTTCGCTGTATTGTTGGGAGTGCTGAAGAGAGCTATCAGGGTGTGCGGTGACTCTTTTGAGGTCATTACTAATACAATTGTGAATAGACATCTAAAGCCTTGCAAACTCCTGGCAGGTGGTATCTTATCGGGTATTAACCATCCAATTCATGCATATCTTTCTCCTTGTATGTCTTCTGGTAGAAACAGATGTCAATACATCAGAATCCATGCACCCAAGCAAAGGTGTAAAAGTTCTATTATTCCTTACCTGGGTAATGTAACATGCGACGAACAGGTTGTTATAGTCGACCTAGTCAATAGCTTGTATTCTTGAGCACGTTTCTAATTTTCTAAAAATGTACAGATTCAAAAAAACATTTCATTCAATTCCAGGTAGTTTATCTACTTAACTTGTATATATATGTATGCAATTAGCAGTTTCCTCCACCCTTTTGCTCATCCTCTTAAATAAACTTGTTGAAATACCTTGTAGGGAGAAGTCGATATTGTATTGAGTATATAATGCTGAATAAAGCCAATAATAATAAAACAACCAAAAAACGTACAAGTTACAGTATGGGTATTGCATTGCAAATTTCATGATGTACAGAATCTCAGAAACATAATTCGTGAATTAATAAGAAAAAGTGCTCGATAATGAATTCATTTATGGTATGATGACTAAATGTCTAGGGAATAGTGGAAGTAAATAATACAAAATGATACATTCACAAATGATTACAACGAACGCTGGTAGTGAATGGTCTAAATTCATCCCTCAATAAAGCTGAACTAAAAATACCTGAGATATTAGTTCACTGGACAAGGAACATCAAATGTGACACAGCATAATGCATCAGAAGGAAGAACGGTAAATTTCGCAATGGATCCCGATTTGAAAGGAAATGTGATACCACTGTCAAATGCCAAATGACCTTCATCCATAAGTGATCGGATGTACAATCTAATTTGAAGAATTAAACAAAAACCCCATTACTAATTAATTATGGAGGCTAACTTAGTTTTTACATTACTTATGGTTTGATTATGTACATATTAAGATTTCTCATCACTGATGTCTGATCAGGTAATAAATGTAAATTCAACCTATGAATTTTTATATATCCTTATTATTGGTTCATCATCACTATTAATCTTGTAGTGTCGGTTGCTATGTTAAGCCCACATACCTTATTCTAGCTTCTGGACAGGGCAATTTATCCATTCTTCTTGAGTCACATTTTGACCTTTCTAATTATTCACTTATCAATTCTAACTGTTTTTATATGAACGTGTGTATATGATCTTATCCTACTAATCACATGTATGTAACCTATTTTTATTTAGCTATAAATAGTGATTAATGGGTGTTGGCTCAACCGCCTTCTCCAACGCGCGTCGTTTCGCTTCACTCTCTTTTCTTCGCTTAGTCCCTCTGATTGCCTTCCCAGATCAATGGGTGTACAAAGTATATGTACTCAAAAATCCATTCTCGTATTTGACTTATTTAGTTCCGTTAATTACTAACGTAGATTAGGTCGATGATTATATACGAGGATAGCCAGGATGTATATTTCGACAACATTCATACGATCTAATTAGAATCAGATCCCGGGCCACTAAAATCTTCTGAACAGACGATTAATCTATTTAGCCATCACCATAATTGTTTCATACTGAATTCATATTACTATACAGTCATACACCAAACATTTGATTTGATCACAATTAAATTATTGTCTCTCACTTTAGGTCATTTATATTTGATACTCATTATTAATCTTACAATTTCATTTAACGCATCAATTCATTTAAGTTACCGGTGCATAGTAATCGTTTCAACACTAACAATTTTATGGTATTTTACAAACAATCTTGAATTCACACTCTATAATTTGAAACGATGTACTTGGCTCGAATCTGTTCACTTTTGGGTTTTCTAATTTGAAAATAGAACTGTAGAACCTGAAGAGAATTTATTGAAAAGAATATTCTCTGTTCAAATATCAGTATTTTAATATGATGGGGAAATTTTTTAACAGCTATAAAACGATTAGTTAATTTTTTCTGTCTTCTGATTAGATGCTGATTGAGAACAATCATTAGTGATTGAAGTTCTTCAGGCGCTGTTCCATAGTTATTGTATGTTACTGGTAAGAATGAAGAGAATTAGTCCGATGAGTGTTAAGTGAACTAATCAACAAATGGTCAACTACTCTTAATATCGACCGGCCCGATCAAACTGATCCAATAAATAGGAGAAAAATTTTGAAAATCCAGCAACAGCATATTTGAAAAACAACGTCAACACTGTAGCGCAAATCCCATAAAGTTAAAGATATATATATATATATATATATATATATATATATATATATATATTACTGATAAACTTACTCTGTAGCGAAACCATGCGGTTTGGTAACTTTGAATACACCTAAGAGCAAAAATAGCATAAATTTAGTGCTTCAAGAAATGGACCTATCCTATTTAGATAGAAATTCGATTATAACAGTAAAAATAACGATAATCATAATAATATTAATACAATAGATTATTTCTATAAATTGACAACTATGATTTACATGTTCAAATTTTTAGCTATTATTGACTATATTTAGTATAAAATGAATATTCGATCAAACTAGAAATATGTAGTTTTATGTAATTTGGATTCACGTGGGATAGTTATGATAATTACACAGTTACTGAATATGTTATATGCGTGGAGATAGTCGATAAGAAACCTCAGAACTACGTTTCACGTTAGTTGGCATTCGCCAGTACAGCGTACCTGCATTTGTGAGAGAAGTGATGCTTTTTTGTGAGGTCCGAACCCACATAACCCAGCTTTGAAGTCCGAGAGATTCCCACCAAATAACGTATCAGACTGTGGAGCTGAGTGACGCAGGTTCGAAACCTAAAGGGATTACCAGTTCCCCAGCCAACAAATAGTGATCAGCGAGAAACCAAGATCTAAGGTTTCCCACGGACCACTTTCAAGCACCTGACACTAAAAAACTGAACGACGTGACTCGTTACTTAGAGCAATAGACACATTGCAACTAGATCAATAGAATTTGATTACAGTTTAAAAGGAGTTACAGTGATTTTTTAAGTCCTGACTAACAATACTACTACTAGATTAACTGAAGTAAAATAAGTTAAGTGGAGTCTGAACCGGGAACCTAATGTATGAAGTCAATTGTGTTAAGCATTAGACCACTGTTCCACAAGTCCAAAAGGGTACATGTAACAGTTAATCGGATAAGTGATAAACGCAATATTCAACGTCAGTAACAGATTTCCATTGAATTCAGTGCATTTTTTAAACTCATTGTTCGTATCTGAGTTTATAAAAAACACTTAAGTCTTAAATGAATAAATTATTTTGGTAACCTATAAACCATTTGTAAAAACAATAGTCGATCTAAGCTAGACCATTATTGAAAACCAAGTGAGCGATACTGCGGTTAGATGAAGAGTGCTACGTAAAGATGATAAATCACTTGGTGAGGTAGTGAATACTAATGATCTAAGGTAGTTGGAGCATGTGTTACGTAAGCCCAACCGTCACCTACCTCACGCGTTGTTAGCCAGTGTTAGAATAGGCTAAGAGGAAGGTAGATGCAATCAAAACAAAACGTGATATCAGTCCATGAAGTCACTGACCTACGGTATGGGGTATGTTGGTAGATGCAGAACACCTTACTGAGGTTTACGCAGTCACCAAAATCAGTGGATAGAGACGAGTGACAAGAGCCAGAATAGGTCACAATAGCAAGGATGAGTCTATTGTTTGTCACCCTCTAGGTCTTGAGTTCCAGTATTTTTCCATACATTCCTTTTAATCTTGTCCTTCCGAACTATAATCTCGATCTTTAATCTTTCTAATTATCATTACTATGATAATTTTATCAAAAGAACCTCTCTATATCACATTACCCTTTAGAGGTGAGTCAAATAGCCTTTCATTGAAACAAAGGCTTAAATCACTTATTAACAAGACGTACTATGCAGCAAAGGTCATTATCAAAAGAAAAACAAGGTCTATGCTTCACCAAAAATCTAAAAGGCACGAAAACGGTTGTGTCACATCCCACTGTATTGATCAATTTAAATATGTGTGTGGCCACACATACATAGGAAGGAGTAATCATGGTCTCCAAATTAGAAAGCGTGAACATGTATCTAAATTTCTAAAAAAAAACACAAATGAAATCAAATCACCCAACAAGAGTAGATGATAAACATCCATCATCCTCTATTACCAAATACAGTTGAATTGGATAATAAGATTGATCTTAACACGGCTTTTGTGGTGTTGTACAAGTGTTAAATGGTGTATAATAAGGCTTATTGAAGCCTTAGCCATACGAAAATTCAAACCCCCTTTAAGTATTCCAAAACAGTTTGTTCTCATCTTAAACCTACCCTAGTAATATTGGCTTATTATCCAGCGTGATGGGTTTTCAAATTGTTTTTCTTATTATTTCCTTTATCTTTGCCTCCTCCATTTGTCTAGTTTACCTTTTGTTTTCTCCCATACAAATGTTCTTATCGAGTATATGTGTGATTGTTCGAAATGTATTGCGCTAATATATCACATAGTTCTGATAATCTTCGTCTTTTTATTTGACTATTCACACTAACTTGATATGTGTTTCTGTGAGCTGAGATCTAAATTTTGACTTACTGAATTGCACACATGAAAGCTTTTGCTCATGGTTGAATCAACTTAAACACAACGAACATTCAGTGTGTTGTCGACTCCGAAACTTGATCTATGTTAATAACGAATCGAATTCAGTCGACATAGCATGTCTGAAGCTATTTTCCGGACAGATATCAATTTGCAATTCTACTGTTTCCAGCTAAAGATCTTGAATAGCTGCATAAGCATTAAAATCTTTAAAATGCTCTGAAGACTAATTCTTAAGTCCTGAAATCGAGCAACTGTAGTCTTGAGTACATCTTGGTCAGACCGTTTGTATCTTCAAATGTTGCGAAATGAATATAGTCAATTTTTTCAATTTCCTGAGACAGCAAGGTTAAGTTTCATTTAAAAATTCATTTCCTAAGGATTTCATATAAAGTCCTAAATATCCAAAAAGCATACTATTTCCCTTCTAGTCAATTTTATGAATATCTGGATATCTGTTAGTGATTTTTAATTTGTTTAACCTAACTGTTATGTAAAATATTAAACAAAAACTTACCATTATTCAATGGATCTCTAACTGTATACATCATTTGACAATCTTCTGGATTAAAAATAAATGATTTATTATATAATGCCTCAATTGTTTCAATTAAACAATCCAATGTAATGACATTTGAATTCCCAAATGAAGATGTATTTGTACCATGATCTAGTAAATAATTCGACAAAATAATTGGATTTATCTGTTGAACAAGATCAAATAATTTTCTAATATTCGATTTGGATATTTTATTAATTTGATGAGACCATGAAGTAGAACCTGTACCAGTAGAAATGACTAGACCACTTGATTTTTGTTTTTCAATAGTTTTTCCGGAATCAATTGAGATATCATAAACGGAGACACTGAGATTAAACAAAAAACGATTAGCGTACTAGAATGATCAATATTTGCTGAGTTTTAAATATGACTATATCAGTAAATATGATATAGAAAAAAGTTTATACTACTGGATCGCTTTAGCCAGTTAACTACTGAAAACTATGGACGACAGTTGCTTTATCATAGTTGGAAAGTACTTAATAGTATATGTTCACAATGACACGAGAAAGTGAATCCATGATATTTAGGCGTTCCGTTAAGTGCACCATCTGTAGACCACCGAGCTGACATATATTGCGATATATTTCACAGCTCTATTAGTTTGCAATATTGAGCGACTAACATCAACTATCATCAGTAATGTCTATTTCGTTTCAGAAATTATGGAAATGATATTGACCAATGAATGGCGATTTGAAAGGACTTTACGTCGCAAAGTGCTACACTAATGAAACATCTCACAAAAAAATTGTGAATATTAATCAGCTGTTTGATCATCTCAGAGAGATTTCGCAGGGAGGAAACATCCAAAACCTTTTATCAAACTTAAATTATTATTCATTATAATCCAAGAGGTATCTTCACCGAGTTCAATGTGACATAAATGACATCAGTCGGGTTTTCGGAGCTCAGTTTTTATCTACCCTAAAAGTTTATGTTGACCAGAACCAGCTAGGTATCTACTTTTATAACTTGTAAACTTCTATATATTACACATCGTCGCATACTGTTTACCATTACTTTTTACTGGACATTCAAAAACTGCTATATTCCGAAGAGCATTGAAGGAAATTAGTAGGATAATTTGTAAATCTTCTAGTATTATTATGAATATAGTTGTGGACAGACATCCTAAATTTTGCAAACAACTGGTAAATGTTATTTTATCACATATAAATTGTTCAATTAATTCACAATTCCTTCTTGTACATCTCCTATTCTAATTGAATGAGACATAAATTCATACACGCAAAGAATAATACAAAATCTATAAAATACTATATGTAACAAATATATAATACGATGAACAGATTGTATAAGTTGACCTGATCAAAAGACCTATGCTCTTGAAAATCCAGGTTATTCTCTACTTACTTATTCTTTTGTTACCGAAATTTGATCTAGTTTTACCATACATATGTATGTTGCGATATCGACAAAAAGTGAGAGGAACTTGTTGAAATATTGTATACTGACTATTCCATAATGTACTAACCACATAATAACGAATAAGACCGTTATTATTATCATTATAATTAAGCAATAGTTTCCAATAACTAATTTAGTATTTAACTAAGCCTGAGGATTAATTTGCAAGTGAATCGTAACAATTTTTTCAACCACTCTACCACAGACTACTGCTGTGGTGAAGAAAGACTCAAGTAAGGCAGACCAATTTATTGTTTTGTAAAAAAAATACACAGTGGCTTTGTAAAATATGAAAATCATACATTAAATACAGTATTTGCACATCTTCCTTTTGTTGTCTTTAACATACTCCATCATTCTTCCAATTCTATTGTTATCCCGATTTCTCTGTTTTCTTTCTTCTTCTTCTTGTTGCTGTTGTTGTCTTCATTTCAATATCCTGCTGGTACGTATTCCACTTCCGATTTTCGCTATATATTACTTATATCTGTCCACATAGCAAGCGTACACCATACTACTTCTCACTAAATTAATAAACTTCCTAAGATTTTAAGAATCTACTATTCATAGAAAATGTCATATATCATTACTGACTGACTAAACAACAAATCAATCAGTGGAAATACAAATATACTTATGCAGATAACATAAATAAGGTCACCAGAAGAAACAACCATGTTACATTGTAGTGCAGTAAAACGTTGCTTCAAAAGATCGATTTTTCACATACCTAATACACATATCACTTATTGAGATATTAATGTTTGTGCATGAACACTTAACTTTGTTTGATTGCCGACAATATTCAATGAGTTCGTATTCACAAACAAAAAACTAAGACAAGAATGAAAACTCCGTATATCATGGTGAAATCTGAATCTCTAACAAAAGAAATGATGTGAATACTTACATAAATAAACAGAAATAATAAAGATAAAGACTACTTCTGTAAGAAACAGAGAAAATAACATGAATTTAAAAATTCGTTGATGAAACTTGGTCAAAATCTACTTGCTTTAATTTTTACCAACAAATAATAGGAGGCAGAAATGAGTGTATAGAAAGATTATAAAATAATTTTTTAAAAAACAACAACCGATCACAAGATTTATCATTAAAGATTCCTGACAGATAATAAAAGGAAGAAGTAAACAAGGATCAAAGTCTATGATACCAATGAAATCTACTGATTGAATTGATAATTAAGTTAAAAATAATGTTAACCAGTTGATAGATTTCGATTAAACAAATGAATTTAATTAATTTGTGGTTGTTCGTTAATTGTTTTCAATGAATAAAAACTACAAAAGTTTATTCAGTCAAACCGGTTAGCATTATTAACAAATAGTACATTTCCCATCAAATCAATGCATAATCTAATTTATTTATAGAAAATTGTAATACTGTAGTTTTAAACTATATCGTAGAAACTGATAATTTGAAATTATAACATTAAGCGTTGTAGCACACAGGATCATGTCATATTACAAATATTTTATATCAGAAGGGGTTTTGTGGAGATTTTAGAAATTTCAATGGTTGAAATATTTTATAGCCAGATGAACCTTAAAAGCTAATAATAATAATAAAATCAAAACGATAGGTAATAACTAATCTGGCAAGAAAATATTTATGGAAGCAATCGATCTTAAAATTATGGATACAACGATCTGAAATCTTTGAATGTTTTAACTTCCACGGATATATAAAGCGACAGTTTTAATCAATTCCATTTTATTTATGATCGATTCATTTTGTCAAAAGATATTTTGGTGGGTGATTAGGAGATAAATAAAGGTTTGTTTGTCAACAACAGGATGACAGTTGAAATCAAATTAAAAATCCATGGTTTATTTAAGTTTAACTTATTTTCTTCATAAAACTTCGCTTTTCAGAAACTGTAAACATTTTCGGGAAGCAACGCGACTATTCCCACCGCTCATATCTATAACAAAACGTCTAATTTGCCTACAGCACGAGCATAGAATTTAACATATTTTATCGTAAAATTTATAAAGTAACAACGGGATAGCATATTAGGTATTGATATTAGGAAACATTAAATCCTACCCCATTTTAGAAACATAAGGTCAGTCAGTCAATTAGTCATTATAACGTAGAGCTAAAACGTAGGACCAGGCATCTCTATGCATCATTACAAATTGCCATACCTCATCAGCACAACAAAGTGAACACCAAATTCGTAGAAGCAGTTACTTCAGTGTTAGTAATATATATATATAAATACGGGTTGTATATAAGGATATGATACACAGAGAGAGAATTAGTTCGTAGAAAGAAATGTATAAAGTAATTTTATTCTCACGGTTTATGAGAAGACAAAGAGTGTATACAACTACACCATCATGATCGATTCTGAGCCATGTCACCCAAAGTCTCCAACTATTGGTCACAATAGTCGCGCGGACCCCAAACAAGTAGTCTCCATCTATCAATATGGCTCGGACCACAAATTAGTGACTTTATGGATTGATGCCACATTTGGGTTCGACCACCCCTGACTTTCTTCCACCTGTCTCCAACACTAATCAACATTGCGCACCGTGGTAGTCGGTAGATTGGCATGCGTAATTCATGGCCCAACCATCTCAGTTTATGTAGGTTCGCAACCTCATCAACTGATTTACCATCGTTCCCTAATACCCTGCGTCTAACCTCACTATTACTTTTCCAGTGATCCCAGCAGATACGAGCAATAATTCTAAGGCATCTGTGGTCAAATACAACGCAGAGCCAAGAAAAGATGAACGTTCGCCCGAGTCGCCACACCACACTAGCACTACGCAATGAATAGCAAAAGGGATCGAGATTAATGTAGTAGGAATTATGATGAAAATAACTGAAGATTGGGAATATAGAACAAAATACAAAGTGGAAAGGTTCATGTAGTAATTTGTTAATATGCGAATATTACTGTTGATGGTATGCAATCGAAATAAACTGCTACTTTTTCAATGGAACACGATTGAAACGGCTCGACGCAAAAAGAATATTAGACTGTTAGATGCTGATTTATTAATACACTAATCACTGACTTACAACTAATCTAGACAAATACAAACTGTACAGTAAAATATACGTCACTTTAAAGATCCATTAATAGGTAAATGTGAATGCGTTTAACTGGTAGTAATTAGTTTTAATTAGTCAATAGTTCAATGCACGTATGTACAAAATCCATAGATTAAGTGTTTTAATTAACATAATTAATTAATTTCAATGGTTAAGATCATGAGTGAGTTGAAGCTAGACCACCATGGAAAACCTGGAAGCACTGGACGGTCGTTTCGTCTCATTGTGGGACTCCTCAGCAGTGGTGACCAGTGAAGTTCAACCAGGTCTGTTGTCAGATAGTAACTCACTGAAGACAATGGTGGATGTGTCGCTCAATTTAGTGGATTAGTTGAAGTTAGACATTAACACCGTCGGATGCCGGCTCAGTGGTCTAGTGGTTAAGTGCTCGCGCACGAAACCAGTAGGTCCTGGGTTCGAATCTCGCAGGGGGCGAGGTCGTGGATTCGCACTGCTGAGGAGTCTCACAATAGGACGAGACGACCATCCAGTGCTTCCAGGTTTTCCATAGTGGTCTAGCTTCAACTGACTCATGATCTTAACCATTGAAATTACTATAATATCCACAAAACCCATCAAATATAATTAAGTTGCTGAGTTGTATATTTTGCTTTATGATAGTAGATATGTAGAGGAATAACATAATTCAAGATCGAGACGAACATACAGAGTGGACGTACCTTCCCCATTAAGGAAAACTACGAGGCATATTACCATAAATCAAAAAAATAAATTAAGTATACACATTTAACTTAGCAAACGATAGTCTAACCTATTTTTCTTTCTTCTATGTATGCTCTTGATGAAATAAATGAATTATGTTGAATTCCAACTGACAAGTGATATGTGGATATTACACATCATCGGGAGTAAATAAACAAAGTGAATTTATTAAACTATATAACAATGATGTATGTATTAAACATTATTTATATCCAAATGAGATTTGTAAAACATTGACTTTAGTCAACGTTACACTTTTATTCAACATAACGAACTGACTAATTGATGTAACTCATTAACTATGTACATCTTTATTTACTTAATTCATTTTTCTATTATTTCTTTGGATCTTCCCATTGATGTTTAGGACTGCAATTGATCGGTCTCTTATTAGCATATGTGCATCGTGTGAGGATTGCTTCGATATTGCCTTGAACCACAAACATTATAAGCAGAGATGGATAGTGGCTGGCAGTGGAATCCAGGATGCGCGTTTCGTCCTATTCGGGACTCGTCAGCTGGATGTGCCCGTATCTCAGAGTTGATGTTCACTCCGAGCTTATAATGTATGTGACTTAAGGCAATATCGAGGCAATCCGCACACGATGAATATATGTTAATAAGAGACTGCTTAATTGCAGTCGTAAACATCAATGGGAAGATCCAAACAAACAATATAAAAATGAATCAAAACTTCACCACATTGCACAAGCTAGTGACTATTTGGACTCGTTAGCTAGGTGGATAACCCGATGGAGTTTGAAGCGAACGGTACTGTGTTCGAGTCCCGGGGTGAACATCGACTCTACATGCGGGTACATTCAGTTCCAATTGGGATGAAATGCAAGCTCTGGTTTCGTTCCACTACTAGCCACCATCCATCTCTGCATATTTATGTACTTAGTTTATTGTCATAATTCATGTTGAATTTTAATGTGTAGTATCCTTTGGTCACGATAATCCACTTGACTTCCAAAATCAGGGCAGGAATTACGACACTGATACCGAATACCAAACAACGTAAACAACTCACTAAATATATCTGACAGCTTAGTTACTGTCGCCTCAAACTGAGTTACTGAGGTAATTTCTGCAGAATATGGTCAGAAATGTTTTCGTTAACTCTCAATTCATTCTGTGATTTGGGATGAGTCGAATGAAACATTTTAGTTGCAGAATAGATGGTAGTTGAGTATAACACTGAGTGTGATAGCTGGTGATTGTTCGGTCGCCCAAACCGTCGTAGATAAAGAAAGGTTTGAATTTCAAACCAAGTGGGTAAAATGTGATTTTTTAAACTCCTGATTGATAGAGAAAATAATAATTCTTTCCGAACTGACAATTTCACACCACAAAAAGTTCCATGTACTTTAATTGTGTTACAAAAAATAACTAACTAACCATGCGCTTGAAGCAGCCCCAGCAAAAACCTCATTCAAAGCAAATACAGGTAGTAATGTTGTCTTCATTTCACTTGGACAGCAAGATGGAAATAGTTGGCATGATGAAGAATCCAGTGGGGTATTTGATAATTCTATTTCATGAATACTTTGGTTAATTGGTTTATTTTTATCCAAAGGTTGCATTATCAACTGATCATTTTTTGAATGAGTTATGGTGACACGTATACGCTGACGCCAAAGCCATCTGAAGGTTAAATTAGTTTAGCTATGATAGCGCAATAACAAAAATGTTAAGTTAAATTCGGAATGATATAAAACGTTTAACCATTCACCTTGACTTTATTTTGATTACTGATAGCCATTTCATACGCGTCACAATCTTAGTTACAATAAAAATGCCTAAGTATTGATCAAATCATTTTAACCATGCCATCGTTTGCATATTTTACAACTTTGATAACTATATTTCATAAATGTAAGGAAGCACTGAGCAAATAATTAACACACTTCAGTTTACAATGTGTGTAGATAACGTTCATTAGCTACAGATACCAGAAACATATTGAAATCTATGCAACTAGGCTTAGATTTTGTTGATTAACGGATAATCAACACTAACATAACTTTACAAGTGTCAGCTATTTAGTTCAATCTCGCTAACCAGACTATGTATATGTAAGATATTCTGTTACTCAATGCCATGATTGAACTGTCACAGTTTCGAATTCCGCGTCAGTTAACCTGCGCGTATCCAAGAATTTTTGTCATACCTAAGTAAATTACACTCATGGTTGTGATGTACAATCCCACGAGCAACAGTCTAGTAACCTTCAATTAATTTACAATAGATGAAGGCTGGATATTGAGAGCTTATTGTAGTCCTTCATGAACAACATAATAACTCTATCCAACTTACCTCCTTCGTCTAATCGGCTATGAGGATCCGCTAGGTACTCTCTGACCATTTCTCCAACATACAAATTTATTATGCGGCTTCAGATTCTTACAGAAATAAGAATGGCGAAGTGCATAATGACAGTGCATCACCATTTCATAATTTCTGGTGCTCTTCAACGCTTCAATTGATTAAAACGCTACCCGATACAACGTACTTAAGAACACGTTATCCGTGTCCGTGAGAACGTAAGAAACAATAAAGCCTGTACTTTGTACGTTATTCACGTTCATAATTTGGAAAAAAAGTGATCAGTAGAGAGATATTTATCTTTTATATCAAATTTCAGAAATAACTAACCAATTATTACCAGTTTTAAACCGATCATTTAATTGGACGAAACGGGATGAGAAAATTCTTATTAAAAGTCAAATATAATAAAACGACCGTGAGATAAATGATAATCTTATTTTACTATAGTTTGAAAATTATATACTGAGGTCAGATCGTTATCACAACAAAAGTATTTACATGGCTAAAGTCAACTGAACTAACCACTAATAAATTCTCACCACGCCCTAGTGAATACGCCATATAATCAATTGAGAATAATGATAATGTGATCATGGCTCTCATATTAGTAATACTTTTTTCTGGTTTATCAAATGTCAATCTTATCTAATGAACACTGATCTGTTTAATAATAGTACATGCAAACCGTTATAAGAATGATGGAAGGCCGTTAGCAGTGGAATCCAAGATGCGCGTTTCGTCCTATTCGGGACTCGTTAGCTGGATGAAGCTGTACCCAAGGGTTGATGTTCACTCCGGGACCCAAACACAGTACCGTTTCCTACAAAAGCGATCGCGTCATTCACTTAGCTAGGACGAAACGCGCGTCCTTGACCCCACTGCTAGCCACCATTCATCGGTGTTTATGTTTGTGGTTTAAGGCAATATCGAAGCAATCCTCACACGATGCACATATGCCAGTAAGAGACCGATCAATTACAGTCCCAAACATCAATGGAAAAATTTAAACAACCAATACTAAATGAATGCAATATTTTTCACATTGTTCAGCTAGACAAATATAGGTTTTTATTTATTATATCGAAATTAAACGTCGGTACAGCTAAATATCAATTGATACAGTTGACCTTATTCACATTTAGCAGCCAAATAAACCTAAAAGTTTATGTCAGACCTAAGCCTGCTAATTAGCACTGAATACGACCAATATTTCAATTAGTTGTTAAAGATGGTTGTTATTGTAACGTTTAGCAGTTTCGGGCTCGATATTAAGATATTCTAATATTACGAATATGTATATAGAATTTGTTAGTGTCCCTCTAATATGTTTAACAAATAAATCCAATGATTCGAAAAATGATTCCAGACGTGAATACACAAAAATCGCTTAGTGGTAACCAATTTCATGTTTATTTAGTTCTTAATCCTGACCAAATTCGACAAATTATGTTGCAATGTGACCCTCAGTCTAAGTGAATAGAAATCAAGTCCACAATACTAAGATATTAGCTGGTTAGAGGTAGGTGGTAGAGAAAACTTGAGCTTGGTTTTATGCTAGTCAGGACTTGTCAGCATAATTCTACACAAATTATCTAGCTGCTTTTAGTAAGTTTGTATAATGCTGCAAAGAGAGATTTTGCATCAATCCCACAATTTGATGGGTTCATTCAAGATGTTATTAAGATGGTAGTTTGATAAATAATTACAGTTGATTGATGCCTTATCAAGTAAAGTTTGGGACCTGAGGCGATAGAAGAAAGGACAGAAACTCTCTTGTGGTAAACAAATGTGGATCATTTTGGCTCATATAATGTCTAGAACATTAGTTAACTTTATTTCACTGAACTGATGTGGTATGACAACATAGGTCTATACGTATCGGTCCCAGGTCTTATGTGTATTATGACTGGCTGATTTCTGACCATTTATACTAGATAATTATTCGAATAGTTAACATATGGAACTACCAAAAATAAGTGTTGGGATCATTAATTATACAGTCAAATGACCATTGTATAACCATAAGTCCAGTGAAATTTTCACATTTCATCAAAAATTTAACAATAGAATGGCTGGACCTAGGATAAGGCAAGTTGTACAGTTCCAATTAGTATCAATAGAAATAATTCTAGACAACTCGCACAACATACCAGTGGTTGTCGCAAAGGAAAAAACAAAGGAAATTCGAAAAATTGCCTGTTCTCTCAATGTCATTTATTTACAGGAGTTTTTTTCAAAAACGTCCTCTTTTATTCTCAAAATCCGCCAAGGGTCATCTTACACTGTGACTCAATGTCATAGTTGAAACAACGAATATGTCTAAATCTTTCCGAGAGCTAGTAGTAGTCTAAATTGGATAGAAAGTAGATATTTCGGGATTAACACCGTTAGATATAGAGTCTTTTGTTAATTCTTTATAATATATGTCAATATATGTGATGGTCGGAAGAGATCCACGTGAAAACCTCAAATTAGGCTTAGTGCTATTTGGTACTGGTCAGCAAGACGTGTATACACACCTGACGGAAATGACGCTTCACTGTGAAATCTGAACCCGTGTCAACTAGTGCCATAACAAGAGATGTTATAACTGAGTAATTTGGGCCATAGCTAACCCCCTGTGGGACAGAGATCTTAACGTAAAAACTGTTCATATTGTAATAACCAATGCCTAGTTAGTTATACTGATCATACTTAATCAATCAAGTTACAATGCAGCCACTATATGAAAAGCTCGACATTGCAGTGCACAGTGTTTGATGATATGTAGTAGAGGGCAATCAGTAGAACTGAAAACTAGATAAAATGATATTGGTCTTTGTTGGATTCCCGACAGTGTAAGGGTCAATAAGTTAGATAATAAAAGTGGTCCAACACACATTGCATACATGGACATAATATTAAAAGTTCTTGGATAGATTTCAAATAACTCCATCAAGGTGCAATTCATAGTTTAACAGAAATGTTCTTCAGATTTTTCGCTAATAATTTGAATACTTAGCTTACATAACATATTGTACCAGCTATATATTTGATGTCTGAAGTGCTTCAGAGATAATTTGGATTTATAGAACTAAAATTTGTGATGATACTACTCGTCCTACGGACGAGTAGATCCAACGAACCTTCAGTTGTACATAACACTCGCAGAAGATAAATTCAAAAGTTTAGGATCTATAGATGGTGGAGATTTTAGTAAAAGATAATGGCTTTGTTGAAATCAAAACTTCAATGTTTTTCGCTGATGATATTGTTTAGGGAATCAATGAAAGCCTTATAATAAGACTATCCTGAACAAAGGATCCTATTTCAATAAGTTGTTGCTCACAATACACTGATTAATTCCCAAAATTGAATTAATTACTAATCAAGCGAGCAACTAACACAATTATTCTTTTCCATCCTATTTGAAATGTTTGGCAAGTGAAAATAATAAATTTAATTAACATGAATCAAAATATTTGAATAAACTAATAAAATAAAAACAAAACTGAATTTGATAGTTGTAAATTGATCATTGCACTTACTGGAAATGTTTTGATAAAAGAAGATGAATAGCTGTAGGAACATTGGAAGTACACCATTTCGGTAAACATAAAAATCCATGAGAGCTAGATATACAGAAATAAATGGAAAGAATACTTCGTTAAGAAGTTTATATACTTAATTAAACACATGAACATTGCTACAAAGAAGCACTGTCTCTACTCATTTGAAATTATATTGTTTTTTCTATTCATCTCTGGCATGCAAGGATTATGAAAGAAATTTACAAAACGCTGTGGTTATTTCAAAAAACGCAGACAATTTTTTTTAATTTGGTTATTTTAAAAAACCCTGTTGAATTAAAAAAACGAGTTCAAATACTATAGTTGGCCTTGAGTTAGACTTAAGGTGAGTAAACGTTACTGATACTATTAGCCTGTCCAAAGCAAATTAAGTGGGGTAAAGTTATAAACTGAAATCTATTTGGTTGAAAGTTAAGCGTTTCAAACTCAAAACCAGTGTAGGACAAGACCAACGGGGGGATAAAGAGGGGAACTGACGATGGATTTTCTGAAGATTATTATTTTATTGTCTTGTTTTTTATGGCCCACAAATGCCCTGGTTCGGTCGATGGTGAGGAGAGTCAGCTCTCCCTTTCGAAATGCTCTCAAATGGCCACGTGCATACAATACTGTCAGGGAAATCCTACTCACTGCCTTTTCGCGGCGGGTTGTTGTTTACGAAATTGAGAGGACGAAAAGCGAATGTTCGGCGCCTTAATCGGGTTGGTGGATGTAGAGGATCCACCTAGGGCAGTTGAAAAACCCTGATTCCAAACTAATGGTAAATATGGGCTTTAGGATGCTAAGCGACCAAATAGCGTATGAACCTATTGTTGGTCACCGGCTACCATAGGACTGCATCTTCTAACGTTGCTTCACTGCCTTATGGATTAGACCTCTAGGTTAAAGGCTCCGGGTGTGGCTCCCTGAGGAAACCATCTTGTTCGGTTTAGGCACCCGCAAGGTATTCTAGCCCTCACACAAATAGGATGACGAAGTGTGGCGTATATATATTTGGAGCTTCTTCGTACCAATGTTCATGTGTTTAAATGCTCACTAGTGACTGGCTTCAAGAGATATTTCCTGGCAATCAAGTGAAAAGCAATGACCAGTGGAATTCAACCTGGTCTGTTGTCAGATAGTAACTCACTGAAGACATTGGTGGACGTGTCGCTCAACTTTGTGGACTGGTTGAAGTTATACATTAACACCGTCGGATGCCGGCTCAGTGGTCTAGAGGTTTAGCGTTCACGCGCGAGACTGGTAGGTCCTGGGTTCGAATCCCGCAAGTCGGGATCGTGGATGTGTAGTGCTGTGGAGTCCCACAATAGGACGAGACGGCTGTCTAGTGCTTCCAGGGTTTTCATGGTGGTCTAGGTTCAATTGACTCATGATCTCAACCATTGAAATAATTAGTTATTTTCGTAAGAGATAAGCCATCATTATAATTGTCAATCGCTACTATTCAGTAAACTTTAGTGATATCTAAACATATTTACTTTCCTGTTCAATAATTCCTGTATAAGCAATCTATTTTATTCAATAAAAAGCTCTCTTTTGATCTTTTTGATACCAGTTTCTTTGGGGAACGTGTGGGTTACATCAACGATCCGGTCTCGAGGGGAACAATCAATCGACTACATCATATCACTGGATTTCATACATTGATCATGTTAAATAGCTTAAAACTGGTTTTATTAATATAAACGAATAATTTTATGTCATCCTAAGCTAGCCGATACCAAGCAAGTCACTGAAGTCAATTTTCCCACGTGTAAGCATATTGAATATTGACAGCGTTGTAGTTGGTGAACTGGGATCTGTATAGTTTCAGCGAGTTGTATATGGATTGAAAGGTATGAAACTTCGTTGCTTAAACAACATAATAGTTATTATCTTAGCACTGGACTTATCCATATTTTTAAGGCACACTTCATTGAGCTGTTCCCACTTCAAGATCACCACAATGTTTATCGCTATTTAGTGTTTTTTGATTAAGACGAGAGGTGGGAACCAACAGTCAGTCAGCCATATCGATGCGCATTTCGTTTTATTCAGACATTCACACCCGAGCTAACCTGTATAGTCCCACAGATGTTTATCCAGAGTCACTGCTTACAGACGGTGTCACGCAATTGTTCAGTTAAACGGAAGGTTAAAACACTGGATTTTCGATTATTAGACTGTAGGCTTTAGACTAACTCCATCTTCTTTTATTTAGGCAGCCATGTAACACTACCAACTGTCACAGAAAACATCTGATTAAAAGTCAATCATATGGAATATTATGTCAATCTGACTTAATGATCACACCACTTGACCAAAAAAATGAGTTGCAGGTTCGAGCCCTGCTACATTTACTTTCTATCAGGATAGCTTGGAAGTATAAGGACCAAGACTATGTGATTCACTTGTGCCATTAATATCAGTTGACTAGCTTAGAGACAGTGTTAACTCGCAACATATATGAGCAAATATGAAGCGGCTATAAAGAATAAATTAAATTAGTTGACAGAAAGCTTTACATTATCCATGCTCTGTATATCTTAAGTACGGAAGTAACCCTGATAAGATAGCTGAGAACTGGTCACAGAGACTTAGTTGCATTTAATCTTGTCATTTCCCACCATAGATCGTGAGTCTCAATATTTCTCCACACAGACCTTATCATTCCCATAACCATTACTACTACTTTTATTTTCCTGTTATTTGTTGTCCTTGGGTTGGCATAAATATGTTCCCGGCTTTACGGTATGACTAAATGAGTTCAAACGATACTTAAGTCTTTTTAGAAATAAAAACCTTAAATATTCACTATTTTAACTACGGGAAAAAGGTGTGCACTGATGAATTGTCTCATGCTAGAAAGAAGTTTTTTAGACTACCCCCTAGACTTTCAATTGTCCTCTGACTGATATCAATCATCTATAGGGACAATATTCAAATAAAAAACTAGTCACAAATAATCCCTTAACTGAAGTAGAAATTTAGCAATTCTACTTTACTGTCTTATAAATTCCATCACTATTACCACTTTGTTTTTCAAAAAACTTACAATGAAGGATCAGTGTTAAAACCGATAATTGGTTTATTAGGATGTAGAATTTTACTAGCACCAAGAAGAAATGTTCCATCACCACCAGCAGTAAAAACAACATCTGCCCAATTAACAGAATCCACTGAGTAATCATGACGATCCACAATATGTACTTCTAAACCATGGTCTCTAGATATATATACGCATTTTAAAAACAAAGAAAGAAGTGCATATTTATTAAATAGCCACAGTTACTAACTAAATAACTCATAAGTAAACACTTCATGAAATAAAAAAACCTATATCACATATAAGTAAGGTCTATAAACAAGTACTGCTAACAAAATTGAGAATGAACATATCGTAAAAATATTATTATTAATTTCACTAAAATAAAAAATAAAATGTATCTATCAGCGGGTTAAGCCTACTATATTGAAGAGTTGTCGCCTGAAATCTTGACTTGTGACAATGTCGCAAAGAAACAAGTATGTAACTCATTAATAAGAACAATAGTATATTTGGAATGATTTATTTATTTTAATACATAGATACTGGCACAAGAAGGTACCAAATACATATGCGCCACACAAAACTCATTTGATATGTGTGAGGGCTGTGATACTGCCCGGGTGCCCAAACCGAAGCAGGTAATTTCCCATCCTCACCGTTACAATATTCTTAAAATACACGAGCAATTCTTCGAAGACACCTATAATCGAATACTAGTAACCTACGAATATCCTTTACTCTTAATAGCCACGTTTCACAACTATGAAGTTCGATGGATTGAAGTGTTGCACGCTAAACTTGTGCTTTTGTTGGCAAACGGATGTCCCGCCTTCGCCACAAGCCATGCAAGTTGACAAACGCCAATCGAGCTTTTTGCATCCATGACGAGATTTCGTCAGACACCAACCCATCGGGACTAATCACACTCTCATGATAAGCGGACGGTCGAAGCACCCTACTCCCACTTACTAATATTAGTTCAGGCCCTGATGAAGTCCAGTCTTGAAGCAACATTCGACATTTTAAGTGAGATAATCGCATCCCAAAAATGCTGGTGTTGCTCTCTAAGGTGGTCAGAAGACCCAGCATTTTGTCAACGTCTTCACCAAACAAAACTATATGATTTGAGTATTCTAAGTCAACGAGTGAATCTCTTATTGAAAGATCAGCTCCTGAAAAGTCAGACGATGAGAGCATTATATCTTAACAGACATCTATGACAAAGTCGAATGAAAATAGAAAAAGCAGACAACACATCTTCAGCTTTTGTTATCCACGACTGCCCATGATCATTGAGTAGCCTTTTCATCAATCTGCGATAATTGAATTTCTGACGTTTCTTGGCTTAGTGTAAATAGCTTCTTCAGAGAAATAATGAATAACTAAGTTAAATCGACACTTACGAACATACAAGCCATTTTAACTCTACGCTATACATACCATCAGATTGTCTACACCCACCAACACATAGATGTACATCTCAAGTAGGATGTACTTGACCGAAATGACGTGACATTCTCATAACTATGCTTGTTTTCATTCTAATGATGGTACTAAAAATTTTCTTCTTTGTTTGGTTCGTACAATTTAAACTAATGTTAAAGTTATTTAGTCATCTATTTACTCCCTGAAAAATGGCTTACACGGAGCCGCGAAACGTCAGAAAATCAATTTCCTGTTGATCGGGATCTTACAAATACATCATTATTTTCATCAATAACAGTGTATCCAATGCTGAATTTATTTGAAATTAACAAGGCAATCTTGATAGTTGTGCTTACTAATGATTTTGCTATTGAAAAGCAAACAGTTAATAAACAATGACAAATGATTCACGAGTAAATGTGATGTTATTAGGTCTATGGTAAGAACAACTTAGCTAGTTAAGTAAACGGATACTTGGAAAAACAATTCTGCATTCAGATTTATTTTTGATACTGAAATAACTAACCATTCAATGTTAGACCATCATTTAAAACCTGGAAGCACTTGACGGTCTTTTCATCCTGCTATGGGAGTCCGCAGTGTCAGTGAACATTCACAACTCACACAGGAGTCAAACTAGGGACTTTCGGTCCTGCATGCAACATCATGGATTGATTGGAGTTAGACATTAACACCACCAGATGCCGACTTGGTAGTCTGTCGGTTAAGGTTTTGCGTGCAAGACCGAAAGACTTGGACTAGACTCCTGCGCGTGGAGTCACTGCTTATGAGAGACGTTTATCAAAAGAAAAACAACTAGTTTTGTGATTAGTGCTTCGTAGGCAGGAAAAAAATTCCAGATTGTTTGGACTATTATTAACATTGCACTGAAATCATGAAATAATCTCGAGTGCGAGGTCGTAAATGAGCATTACTGATGAGCCCAATACTAAGACGAATCGGTCGTCCAGTACTTCCAGGTTTTCAATAGTGGTCTAAACCAGATCTCTTCATAGTTTCAATGGAATCCAACAATCTCCATAACCTCTTACTGACAATTATTATCATTATTTGCAGATCTTCACTATATTTTTTCCAGCTGTAAGCAGCAGCTGCATCTGGTAACTACTGGGAGCTCTTCCGACTCATCCGAGCCACTGGCAGCAAGAAGTCTGGTGTGAGCGAAACAATCTGTGAGGATGACGGGATGCCAATCACTAACATCCATCCACGCCTTGGACGACGAACAGAATTCTTCGAAGGGCAGTTCAACTGGCCGGCAACATCGGTCAGACTATCATGCCCTCCATGGCCAGTGACGACTGATCCACCAAATGAGGCGAAAGTCCGCACGAAACTCCAACTTTTGAAGCGCTACAAATCACCGAGCCCAGATGACTTATCTCCGGCGCTTTTAAAGGTGGTGGTGGCTTTATGGCTAAGGAACTGACTGTGTTGCTTACAAAGGTCTGGGAACTAGAGAGTGTACCAACGTCATGGAATGAGTCGATAGTTGTCCCTGTCTAATCCTGTACTCACCCTGGATGGTGAGCAGATAGAAGTAGTCGAGAAGTTCGTGTATCTGGGTAGCTGCGTAAGTGCTGGTGGTGGCGTGAGTGATGAAAGTCAGAGCGGCTGATGCCAATCTGGGCCATCTTTGGCGCCTTCGTGATGTCAGTCTGGCTGTAAAAGGTCGGATCTACAACGCGTCGGTGAGAGCAGTTTTGCTCTATGCTCGTGAAACCTGGCCTCTCCGAGTTGAGGATGTTAGACAACTCTCTGTGCCTGATCATCGTTGTCTCCGAAGGATTGCTGACATCCAGTGGCAACACCATGTCAGTAATGGAGAGGTTCGGCATCGTGTGTTCGGGTGCAGAGACGACAATGCAGTTGGTGTCACCATCTTGAAACACCGACTTCGGTGGCTTGGACATGTCCTACGAATGTCGCACCAGAGAATTCCACGTCGTGCATTATTTCCCGACGCTGGGACTAGTTGGAAAGAGCGGAGAGGTCGTCAGTGTATGACATGGTGTCGTGGTATGGAAGAAATCTCCAAAGGGCTGGCTTGTGTTGGTCCTTCACGACTCCCTAGCTGGAGTCCGAGGGATGGTGTGACACAGTGGCTAGAGACGTTATCAGATATGGCTCAGAATAGAAGCCAGCGGCGATCCTGCTGTAACCTTCTTTTGCTTTCTTCATAAAAAGTGGTTGTACCTTCCTTAACTGAGAGATTTCTTCTGGTTGTACCTTTCCGTTTCCCCCATTATTATTATTATTGTTAATATTATTATTACACTACCATATACTTATCTGTGGTTTCTTCTTTTTATTCTTTTATGCCCCTCACCTTCCTTTTTTCTCTTCCCATTCTCATTGTTTTGGGTGGCGCATATATATATATATATATATATATATATATATATATATATATGGTGCCCCCTTGAACCAATATTTATGTTTTCAAATAAATAAATAAATAAAATTTACGATATTTTCGTTGTTATTAACCAAAGTTGAATCGCATCAGTCTCTAGTGACATATGAACGCGAGAGAATACCTCAACAACAAGTTTATCATATTTTTGTGATGTGCCTAAGCGTAGAGTTTTGATGACGTAATAAGAAGACGAAGATTATCAGACTATCTGATAATCTTCGTCTTCTTATTTCATTATCGAAATTTATCAAAGGGACTAACTGCTTTAAGACTAGAGTTTTGGACGCCTGTTTCGCCCTATTTCTTTAGACACATGAACATTGGTACGAAGAAGCTCCAAATATATATACGCCACACTTCGTCATCCTATTTGTGTGAGGGCTAGAATACCTTGCGGGTGCCTAAACCGAACAAGATGGTTTCCTCAGGGAGCCACACCCGGAGCCTTTAACCTAGAGGTCTAATCCATAAGGCAGTGAAGCAACGTTAGAAGATGCAGTCCTATGGTAGCCGGTGACCAACAATAGGTTCATACGCTATTTGGTCGCTTAGCATCCTAAAGCCCATATTTACCATTAGTTTGGAATCAGGGTTTTTCAACTGCCCTAGGTGGATCCTCTACATCCACCAACCCGATTAAGGCGCCGAACATTCGCTTTTCGTCCTCTCAATTTCGTAAACAACAACCCCGCCGCGAAAAGGCAGTGAGTAGGATTTCCCTGACAGTATTGTATGCACGTGGCCATTTGAGAGCATTTCGAAAGGGAGAGCTGACTCTCCTCACCATCGACCGAACCAGGGATTTGGAGGCAATATTCCGGATCTGCCAGCTGAATGCACCCATATCGCGGTGTAGATACTTGTACTGAAACGTTAGCACTGCCTATAACTTCAAATCCCAAACCCTCAGTCAGCTGCAACGTAGGACCAGGCATCTCTATGCATCATTACAAATTGCCATACCTCATCAGCACAACAAAGTGAACACCAAATTCGTAGAAGCAGTTACTTCAGTGTTAGTAATATATATATATATATATATATATATATATATATATATATATATATATATATATATAAATACGGGTTGTATATAAGGATATGATACAGAGAGAGAGAATTAGTTCGTAGAAAGAAATGTATAAAGTAATTTTATTCTCACGGTTTATGAGAAGACAAAGAGTGTATACAACTACACCATCATGATCGATTCTGAGCCATGTCACCCAAAGTCTCCAACTATTGGTCACAATAGTCGCGCGGACCCCAAACAAGTAGTCTCCATCTATCAATATGGCTCGGACCACAAATTAGTGACTTTATGGATTGATGCCACATTTGGGTTCGACCACCCCTGACTTTCTTCCACCTGTCTCCAACACTAATCAACATTGCGCACCGTGGTAGTCGGTAGATTGGCATGCGTAATTCATGGCCCAACCATCTCAGTTTATGTAGGTTCGCAACCTCATCAACTGATTTACCCTCGTTCCCTAATACCCTGCGTCTAACCTTACTATTACTTACCCGGTGATCCCAGCAGATATGAACAATATTTCTAAGACATCTGTGTTTAGATACTAGTAACCTACGTGTATCCTCTACTCTTAACAGCCACGTTTCACAGCCGTAAAGTAAAACAGAATGGACTTCTGTGCAGTAGGCTCGTCCCTCGATTGATAGACGGATATCTCACCTTCTCCATATGTGATGTAATTTGAATCCATGTAGAGATTTTGTCAGACACCAACCCATTAGGGTTGATCAGACTTCCAAGACAAGTGAAGTTGTTGACGCGTTCGGCCACTTCAGTCCCTGTCCTTAGTTCAGTTGTTGACGCAGGACAGTCCAAACCCTCACGCGTAATAAATATAATACAAGTTGGACAAGTTGTAATATATCTAGTCTGATTAGCTTAAAGAATATAGCATTGGCTTTTGAGTCGAAAATGTAGTCAGTTCAAGTTTCAGTGAGAACGCCGATAATGAAATATACCTATATCTAGCTGAGAAGATCACAACAGAACGAAAGGCGCACCTAAAAGCCCCTTGTTAGCTACAACCCGGAAATATAATGAAGATTGTCAAAATAATAACTGGAACATTTATGTCATAGGTTTTCTAATCCTATTACTATTGTTTAGTCATAACATATGAGAAATTTTCCGGCTATCTAGCACTAAAACGTCGAACTTTAAACACAACTAATTCTGAACTACGAAATAATAAACTTTGATTTTAACCTACCTATCTGGTTGGGAGGGATAAATACGATTTTCTACTAACACAACTCGTATTTGGTACGAACTACAAGCATAAGTATACTTATGAAGTTGTTATTATGTATTTTTATACTGATTAATTTTCCACGTATAGTATTATTAAAGTTCAGAAAACATACGGAATAATGTGTATTATATGCACATCTCGAGTAGTCATGTTCTTACAACCATTAGCGCAGAATGATTAAATTTTGTGCAAATACGATAAAAATAAATTAAGGTTAAGTTAACGATGGTGAAATAAGATGGAATCTAAAAGAATTGTTTAATAATTTAACGTAGATTTTAAAAGCAGTTGACAAACTGACACGATGCCCAAAGATTTAACCTAACAGTCAGGTGTATTAATCGACTGACAAAACTCAATAAGACTCAATATTGATACAAATGGGTGACAAAATAAATATACGCTGCACAAATAAGGAAATGAAATCGTGCAGAAATAAAGGGAGGAAAGTTAGATTAATCTTAATATATAAGTGGATGAAAATAAATGAACTAGCATAGTTTATAATAGGAAAGATAGTTATGATACAAAAAATAAAACCAGGGAGAAGCCTTTCAGTCGAATCTACTTTATGAACAATATAAAGGAAAACTACAACATGGTTGTCACTGGCTTATATTTGAGCCTAGTCTGATAACGGCCCAGGCTACCGAGTTACTCTGTCTCTAAAATACCAACCGGCGAGTCGTGATGGACAGACAGATACCAGCCCTATACAACTTTCTTTCATACCACGGTGCTATGTAATAAACTGGTTATTTCCGCCTTTTCCATTTTCCCAGCATCGATAAACGATGCGAGATGAGGAAGCCGCTCGGTTGACACTCATAATACATTTTTAAGCCACTGAGGTAGGTAATCCAATATGGTTGCATGAATTTAGTTATCGTCACTAAGCCAGAAGACATACCTAGATCTCAGGAGTACTAATATAGTACTGCTACTGGATATAAGTAATCCTTCGAAGGCAACGACCTTTGAACAAAGAGTCGCCTAACATCCTCAACTCAGAGAGTTCAGGTTACACCGAGAAACAAATAAACTGCTCTAACCCGACCTTTTACATACATCCCAACATTACTAGGTGTTAAGTACATTCCATACCTAGGGATAATACGTGCCAAATGATGGTTTGATTTGCATAATTTGAGTGTCATCGCAAAGAAATAAAATATCATCTGCATGCTCAAAATCAAAAGGTCTTTGTCCAAGTAGCAGATTCACACCAGCACCAAAGTCGAGGAATAATGGTGATAATTGGCTACTATTTCTAACCATACAGATGGAACGGAACAATAGGAAGGAGGCATATGAACACCTGAACCCCCTGGTACCGCCGCTGGTAAAGTTCACTCTCCCTCTCGAAATGCCCTATTATAACTACGCAATTATGGCTACTTCCAGAAAATTCCTGCTCACCTCTTTCTTGTAGCTAGTGTTATTCGAGAAAATGAAAGGAAAAAAGAACATCTGGCGCCTCAATCGGGTTGATGGATACGGAGGATTCACCTAGGAGAGTTAAAAAACCCGGACTCAAAACTAATCGGCTCCAAAATTATGAGGGATCAAATGACATCTAAAGCTATCTTTGGTTACCCGCTATCGTGGCAGTGCATCTCATGATGTCCCTTTACTGCCTTGTGAATTAGACCTCTAGGTCAAAAACTCTAAGAGTGGCCTACTAAAATATTATCTAATTCGATCTGGGCACCCAGGAAGTATCCCAGCCCACCGACAAGTATGATAAGGAATGATTCTGAGGCAACCACTCAATAAACTTTCAGAACAAAAAACATCTTAAGGAAGTAAGTAAATGTTACCTCACCTTAAAGCATTTTTCAATTCAAATAATTTCGCATAATGTGTTTCATGCCGAGCGATCAGAAGACGAGGGTTAAAACCTCTTCTTTCTATCTGAATTAATTACACCGTAATAATGGGGATAATCATTAGCATACAGACGTTTTTAATTGGTCATCATTCAAATAAGTTTCCATTGACTTTTCACAATCGTATTTGGATAATTTAGCCAATATTAGCGCAGTTTTGGGCTTAAACGCTGATAATTGCTCCGACGACACAGCAGACGATCTGCACAGATTTATTAGATATCTAACGTCAGCACTTCGAGCCAACGAACTACATGAGAGCATATTCTCTGGATAGACAAGCAATAAGAGGAAAATAAATAGGTTGACTTTGTCAAACATTATTGTTCATTTAGTCATGTAAAAAACGTGAATAAATATAAAGACAAATATGTTAGTAGATTTTTACGGTTTAATTACACCATATTGAGAATATGGAAAGGATTTTGATGCAGCCCGATTCGTGAATTACAATAAATATATGTTTCACGATCAACGTCAGTCTGTATCTTTTATATGATTATAAAAATACTTTATGTAGTGAAAGGCACAAAGTGTATTGAACAATGGCAAAATAATGAGTGTTAGTTTTTAGGCCTGATAATTTCCACTTAAGCAAACAAATATACAGATCTTATTGACGTCCAAACAAACAAACAGTTGTATTCGAGTACATCACAGTGGACTGGTGGTATGACATTAAAGTGGAACAAGGATACAAGTACATCAAACCCAACAATACTATCGTAGTTCCTTTCGAACTATATAAATGTATATCCTTTAATATTGTCATCACTTACATTAATATCATCATTTAAGATTGTTTACTTTATTTCCTAGAAATTTACCTTTGAAACTCAAATGAAGAATCGCTACTTGGGCCTATGAATATTGGTGCCAGACCCTACGATGTTTATGATTGGCAAACGAGTTTTTTTTAAAAATTAAACCTAAACCGATCACCACGACGTGCAATGCTAACCGGCGTTCGGGATGGTTGGAAGAAAGTTAGGGGCGGCCAAAACAAAACGTGGCATCAGTGCTTGAAGTCACTAACTTCCAGTCTGAGCCATGTTGGTAGATGCAGACTACTTGGTTGGGGTCCGCGTGACTATCGTAACCAATGGTTGGAGACTCTTGGTGACATGGCTGAGAATCGATCACAATGGCGTCGGTGTATACACTCTCTATCTTCCCTTAAACTAAGAGATTAAAGTCGCTCCATATCTTTCTTTCTACCAACTAATTCTTTCTTCCTGTACTATATCCTTACAATCTTTCTTTTATATATTACCACCACTGACTTAACCACTCCTATAAATCCGGTGTTCATCTTGCTGTGATAATGTGGTATGGCAACTTGAACCGATGCATAAATGTACCTGGTCCTACGTTGTAGCTAACTGACTGAAAGCTAATTTTGGGTATATTAAAAGCTATACCGAATTTCAGACGAAATCAGAATTAGATACTTTGAGTAAATCAGTAGAAAAAATCTTACTAGTACTCATTGTGAAAGTTTATCCATAATACTACATTGAATAGTTGTTTGATTTCAGTCAATTTTTTTAAATCGAGAACGGTTTAGTGATTTAGTCATATGACAGAGAAAATTCCACCCTGAAACTGAAACAAATATTCATTATTTATCCCATAAACCTTTCTTTATGTTTAATCCGTCGATCTAATTTTTAATAGGTGTAACACATAAGACTTGTTATCCTGAAATTTGAAACATTATTAGAGTATCGAAATATGAAAACTATATTATTTATCTATTGAAAAACAGAAGCTGCAATAAGTATTTTCTCACAGATACATGAACTCAAGTGTGGTTAATTACTTGAGGCTAAGGTTGTTCTTGGGTTAATAAATTATACACAGTGTTTCGGTAGGTACGCCAACTATTATTAGGTTGTGCAGCCTGACAATTTATATCTCTGAAATCTGAAGTGACGCTTCAAGATCGTTCTGAACTTATACTTAGTCTAAGCATTCGGGGTAAGGTGGTTAGTTTCACTAATTAGTATACTTCGCTCACGGATTTACTGTGATAAGCTAGCCGATAGCAGAATTTCGGATACATACATATTAAATTGTACTATTTATCAATATCACATTTTAATAGACTCGTGAAACATAACTCCATTGGAAAAGTGAAAGATAATATAAAACCTGAAGTATTGGATCGTTGGATTTTCGAACCACTGTTAACACACATAGAGCGAGAGTGAGCGATGATGTGATTAGGAATAATTTCATAAAATATTTAAACAAGACAGCTGTTTTTGCATATATCCACCGAATAAAATAGTTGGATCATTGCTTATATGTAGTAGCAGTCACGGTAAATGCGAAAGCAAAATAAGCATTCAAGCTTAAACCAATCAACACTTATTCCTTTGTTTTGCCTAACATTTACACCTACAGATCCAGTTTCAAGAACTTTCATACAAAACCTTTAAATGTCTAAAGCCAAATATTCCCAAAAGTTATCATGTCCATAGTGAAAACACCAATTTTTAGCATTTGTTTTGGCACCATGATGCAGTATTCTCAACAGACGTTATGTAAGCTTGATCAATGGAGTCGATATTAAATCTGAGATGTGACAATACATACTTTGCATCATAAAATCACTGTCATTTATTTACTAAAGATTTTTCAAGTGTGACACAATAAGGGACTTGTAACCCCAACTTAAGATAAATCAGGGTTTATTAACTTAACTCATAGGCGTTCTTGTGATTTAAATATTTTCTCACACCATAGAATCTGTTGAAGAGTAACAATAACATTAGCTAGTGAAGCTCTGGACTTTTTATATTTTTCTGTAATGTGACTTTTGTTTTGACCTCATGTTAACACCAAAGATATAAGGCGCCGACCCGCTGACTGGTAATACCATCTTTAATTAGTTTAAACTTGTAAGTGACAACACACCCGAGCTCCCAAGTTTGGGGAAACTCCCGGAGTCAAATGACCTTCACCAATGTTAAAGGGGATTTTTGGGGAAATATTGAGAATTTCCCCAGGTTTGGGGAATTCCAGGGCTTTTGTGCCATTTCCCCAAAGTTAACTATAACGGCTTCTCCTAAATGGGTCAAATTTTCCCCAGAATTAAGAGCTCGGGCAAATACCGGAAATAACATTTTAACTAAGATATACTCAAAAAGTTTGTTATATTTGGTTCTTGAGAACGAATGAGTGTACAACACCGCGCGAGCCAGATAGGGGATGTACACAAGATAGTCGTTTAGCCTTACTGTGTCTTGGTGAATAGAAACTTAGCTAACCACAAGATACAATTAATTAATGAGTTCTAGTTGAAAGAATATACTCATTCGGATGTAGCGACAAAGTGACTTACATAAAATATAGTCAATGTCACTTCTAGCACAATTCATATGAAAATAGCAGAGCCTAAGTGAACAAAAACAGCTTCGAGACTGAAAGAGGACTACAACACGACCTTGAAATCAGCTTTCCGCGTGTTTCTTTCGATACTCAACATTCTGTAATAAGTTTACATAAACCTCTACAACATCCATCGTATTTATTTTAGATAACCCGAATTACGCGCACCATATTCGATCTCATCCGATACTTAACTTTATATCTCCTCCAAACTACATAGTATACTTTCATACTTAGTTAGCCAAAATACCCAGTATCTTTGTCACGAGCTTGTGTAAAGTGATCAATTTATTTGCTCTTACTTCTTGCTTCGATACGGTTCCAGATATTTGGTAATTTCCAAAGGGCAATAGTCTAGCCGCTCGGCCGCACTAATTATTGTCAGTTTGGTAGTTATTTGTAGATTTGTATATCTCATAGCTTGAGTGCGTAAGTTTGTTTCAAGACTGTAGGGTTCCTGGATATCAGCAACTATCACTTCACCAAGAAGGAGGTTGACTGGTTGCAGTATAGAAGTAATGAAATGATGATTCGAATGCTAAGAGGAAACGATTGTTTCAAGAATAAATAGGCAATTTCCTAAATTGATGACATGTAAAAAGGCGGAATAGAAAACAATAACGGGAGATGGGGATGATACTAAGAGATACAGGAAGTAAATACCGGTATACAAAAACGATAGCCGTGGTAATTTATGATACATTTATCAGACACGGCTGGTTCAATAAGGAGATGGTAATCTGTGGGTGAATATGTGTTTATGAATTCTCCTCTCAAGGCTATCCACTGTTCAGGTGATTCGGCGTACTTAATATGTTGCATGCCATTGCCAGATCACCTCTTATTCTCATATGGCTCAACGACAACAAATTCACGTGTTGTGGTGTGTTCTCCTAGGACCCATATTTTAGACGTATCAGCCACCTGGTACACATTTCTGTACCTGGTCCAGGAAACTTATATTTCTTTCAAAGAGAGAGGAGCAATAATATTGCAAATCTCAAGATAAGGCCGTGTGTACGTTATAATCAGTGTCAAGAACAACTCTGGAGTGATTTCCTCAATTAGCCTACACATCTGGTTGAGGGTTGCGTTTGTCGTTGCTGCATACCCTATGTGGTTTCAGTTGTTTTCCAAGCTCTCCCTGGGTTGAAGCTCGTGATCATGCTCTGAGGTGACAATCGGAAATGTATATTTGTGCGGGAAGTATTGGTGTGTGTCAAATGAGGCAGAAAGTTTATGACAGGACATTTCGACGGGTTAGGTTTTAACCCATTGCCAATTATCGATTGCTTTTTATGAGGCTCCAGATCCTTGTGTTGTCTGCATAGATCAGTGCCACTGCGCTAATTCTATAAGACAGGTCATAGAAATGGACTTGTTAAACCTATCTTTGTACTGTATTGAGACGTTTATGGGATAATATGTCATAGGTTTTTGAGAAATCGAGTAATATTGCATGAGTAAGTATCTTATGGTCTCCGCAGGTCTACTGGTTTTCACATGCTATTAGTACATTGAACGGACAGGACATGGGCATAGGCATCTTCATCGAAAAGCTGATCATCTGTCAGCAAGTAATCTGAGTATGAGCGATTTCCGTCCATATCCTATTTCGTCACGCCACATACACGTTTAGTCGGCCTTGCTTATGGAACCATTCTGTAGGGTTTGTATCCCGCCCGTTGAAGTTTAGGGGTGGAGTAATGAGATCTACAGCTAGTCGTATTTGGTCAAATACAGGCCTCGCCTGTTTTATCTCATCCTTGAGCTTTACTCTCATGTCCAAACCCATCACAACAGACTGACGCTCCTCCACTTGTGTTACTTATAAATCCTGATGCATTAGAAGCTTTCGTTAAACGCACTGTGACCGAACACCACGGCGCGACACATTGATGTCCAGGAGATTTCGTGCAACTTCCGAATTCTTCGTGATTTGGTACACGCGTTCATTCTGGTCATGGTTCGTCACGTCGAGCTCTCGATTCTACCAACCTAAATGTTATGTCATCAATGCAAACAGAACTGAAGACAAACCAGCATCGACTGGCTGCTCGCCTAAACGGTGATCTTTCCTGTTATTACTTTCTTAACAAAAAATCAAGCAACGAAACTCTGTGACTGTAGTGCGATCCTCAGAAGTTAATGACCGAGACGTAACCTTGCTGCTGCTTCCAAATTCTCTGGTACAGCCGAGAGTGGGGAGAGTCCGCTCTCCTCTTCGAAAGCACTCACACGGCCACGTGTATACAGCTTCTGTCAGGGAAGTCCGACTCACTGCCTTCTCGTGGCATTACTGTTGTTTACGAAAATGAGAGGACGAAAAGCGAATGTTCGGCGCTTTAACCGGATCCCAAACCGATGGTGCACATGAGCTCCAGTATCCTAAGGGAACAAATGGCGTATGGACCAATCGTTGGTCACCGGCTACCATGGGACTGCATCTTCTTATGATGCTCCATTGCCCTGTGAGTCAGACCTTTAGGTCAAAGGCTCGGGGTGTGGCCCTCTAAGAAAACCACCTGCTTCGGTCTGGGCACCCGAGATGAATCACAGCCCACACACAATTATAATGAAAATGACGATATTAACTGAAAACTCTCTTCTCGCTTCGACTCGCAGTCGACCGATTCATATTATTATTATTATTTACTACGTCATTATTCACCCTCTTTTATTCCTGCACTGCCGATACTTATTTTTTCGACCTATACAGCAGGTCGTCTATGATGGAAATTCGACTCTATCTAAACGTTCTCGAGTCACTGTCTGGTTGAAAATGGTATGTTACCATCAAATATGAGTACTGAGGCAGTTTTCCTGAAACCCCGTGCACCATTCAAACTGGCTGCCTTTAACATTCACACACTTATGCAGGTCGGTCAACAGAAAGAGCTGGCCATATCTTTAGAAAGTCTTAATATCGATGTCTGCTGTCTATCCGAGACCCGTATTCAACACTCTGGTGAAGTACTACAAATTTGCTCTCCATCTGTCGCTTCGAAAAGCTTGTTTTAAATGTGTTTATCCGTGGACCCTGTGGCATCTTCGCCTGGTCTTGCTGGCGTTGGTGTCGCACTAAGCGCTAGAGCTGAGGCAGCACTGATCGATTGGATCCCCATTAACAGTCGGCTATGTGCTGTTAGATTAGAAAGTCCCATCAAAGTGAGAAGAAATCGGCGTGAGAAACGATATCTTTTCGTCATCTCCGCCTATGCTCCGACGGATTGTAGCCCGGATGCAATCAAGGATGAATTCTCCCACCAGTTAACTGATCTTCTCCAGAAAGTGAGTTCGACAGATATTGTAGTACTAGCCGGAGACTTGAATGCTCAGGTCGGGCATCTAGGCAGAGAAGAGAGTCGTTTAGGTGGGCGATGGGGACTTGTTGATCGCAGGACAGATGACGAGGACCGTCTACTGCAACTGTGCACAGACCACAACCTGTTTCTGGCTAGCACTAATTACTGGCACAGTAATCGACGATGTGCCACCTGGCGTCCTCCCTCTGCATCTCAAGCCTCGACTCAGATTGATCACATCGCGATCGGCTACCGCTGGCGTGGTTGTGTACAAGACTGCCACTCCTTTTGGAATACCTAACTGGACTCTGATCATGCCCTTGTTTGCGCCAATCTCACCTTAATTTTCAGGGGTCAACGAAGTGTCCGCCACCAAAGGATTGGTGTCAGCAAGTTGGTTGCAACTTGATGACGCATTCAAAATGACGAGTAAAGTCGCTTGCGGCTTCACGAAACGTCCTGCTTATGAGCACTGGGTTTATTCAGGCTTCTTACAATTCATCGAAGCCCGTCGGTCTACTCCAGGTGACCGTGAGTCTGACCACAAACGAGGGCTGTTACTGAAGGAAATTGGGCAAAGCTTGCGTAAGGACCGAGAAGCCTGGTGGTCGGAGCGTGCTAATGAGCTGGAAGCAGCAGCTGCATCTGATAACTACTGGAAGCCTTTCCAACTCATCCGAGCCCTGTGGCAGTAAGAAGTCTGGTGTGAGCGAAACAATCTGTGAGGATGACGGGATGCCAATCACTAACATCCATCCACGCCTTGGACGACGAACAGAATTCTTCGAAGGGCAGTTCAACTGGCCGGCAACATCGGTCAGACTATCATGCCCTCCATGGCCAGTGACGACTGATCCACCAAATGAGGCGAAAGTCCGCACGAAACTCCAACTTTTGAAGCGCTACAAATCACCGAGCCCAGATGACTTATCTCCGGCGCTTTTAAAGGTGGTGGTGGCTTTATGGCTAAGGAACTGACTGTGTTGCTTACAAAGGTCTGGGAACTAGAGAGTGTACCAACGTCATGGAATGAGTCGATAGTTGTCCCTGTCTAATCCTGTACTCACCCTGGATGGTGAGCAGATAGAAGTAGTCGAGAAGTTCGTGTATCTGGGTAGCTGCGTAAGTGCTGGTGGTGGCGTGAGTGATGAAAGTCAGAGCGGCTGATGCCAATCTGGGCCATCTTTGGCGCCTTCGTGATGTCAGTCTGGCTGTAAAAGGTCGGATCTACAACGCGTCGGTGAGAGCAGTTTTGCTCTATGCTCGTGAAACCTGGCCTCTCCGAGTTGAGGATGTTAGACAACTCTCTGTGCCTGATCATCGTTGTCTCCGAAGGATTGCTGACATCCAGTGGCAACACCATGTCAGTAATGGAGAGGTTCGGCATCGTGTGTTCGGGTGCAGAGACGACAATGCAGTTGGTGTCACCATCTTGAAACACCGACTTCGGTGGCTTGGACAATGTTATATCCCGATAAGAATAATGAATGTTAATTCCTGGTTTTCATTTGTGGAACAATACTATGATTATATTTTTATCGTATAATTTTATGTAACTGAACTGTTTTTATTGATGTCCCTCTTATTATGAGATTCATTTTGACCTATGAACTATTATTATACGATTTACCATTCGTGAGTGATGGCCAGTCCATCAATCACTATCTCCCTCATTCACAGCCATTTTGGTCAAATGTTGTACAAATGTTATTTTCTATTTTATGGTACGTTGTGGTCGGTTTGATTGGTATATAAATTCGTATGGTTTGACATAAATGATTCATATTGCAGAGGCTGAGATTGGTGTTCTGAACTTAACTGGCTGGGCTAGACAGGAAGCGAGACCTATCAGGACTCTAGGCTGCTCGCATGTGTTTTATGCGTCACTGGTTCAATCGATAATTCGCTGCTTTCTGATTGGCGGTATCGTTGCGTTGTCCAATATACAGGGGACACAGGATCACAAGTTATAACAGACATGTTCTGCGAATGTCGCACCAGAGTATTCCACGTCCTGCATTACTTTTCGACGGTGGGACTGGTTGGAAAGAGCGGAGAGGTCGTCAGTGTATGACATGGTGTCGTGGTATGAAGGAAATCTGCGGCGATCCTGTTGTAACCTTATTTTGCTTTCTTCATAAAAAGTGGCTGTATCTTCTTTAACTGAGAGATTTCTTCTGGTTGTACCTTTCCGTTTCCCCCATTATTATTATTATTACACTACCTTACACTAATCTGTTTGTTATTGTTTTTTTGTTTTCTCTTCGAATTCTCATCGTTTTGCATGGCGCATATATATTTGGTGCCCTCTTGTAACAATATTTATGTGTTCAAATAAAATAATATAAATGATAACCTTGCTGCTATCTGATAACCGGCCTAAGACGACACGACGTTGAAAAGCTATAAAGATTCCAGCAAACACGGATGATTTTCATTTGCTAGGAACTCGTAGTTAACCCCTTTTTATCCCCTGTTTCGTTCCTAATGGTAATTTGCTGGGATTTTAGATTTTATATTGCATCAAAAATGAAAATCGAGACGGTTTACCTAGATTGCGTTCACCGAACCGGTTAGGCGTTATGGTACTGACGCGACACCGGGTCACATATCATGTCACTGGTTCATCATGACTAGGCACTATGCAACTCCCAAAATTCGATTTCTTTCCATGAGGGTGGATATTGATGCCTGATAGTCATTTACTGAATTCACACTGGTGGGGCTTTGATTATTAATTGTATTATTGATATGGCGGGATAAGAAGTCAAAATCAAAGTTCTGCTCGTCATGATTTTCGGTTAATATTACTTTTTTTAATTCAGTGTGATGATTGGTTGGAGTAATATTTATTTCATTTTCCAGTGTGACATCTTATTCAATATAACATTAATTTACATTTGTGCGATGTTTATTGACGATCCGATATTCTCGTATTAAAGTAATGTGAACTGTGTCCATCATGACATGCAGCATGTGATTTTTTTTAAATCTTGGTATTTTTTATATATATGATGGTACTCCAATTAATAATTGGAATGTGTGTACAACCAATATACAGTGAGTGTATTTTCTACTCGGGTCTTCATGTTTTGAGGTCAACAAATGTTCACTTGTACCAGTCTAATTGTTCTTACTTCGCGTCGTGGTATTTGCAATGATACCCCGTTCTCAGGTACAAGTATTGGTTTTGTAATTGTATCGGTTACTGACCACATGGTTTTTGAAGCTGGCAATGTAATTATATAAAAAATTTATGTTCAACGAGTAACACTTGGAGGAGATCAAAAATGGTAATCTCGGAAAGTATTGATCGGTGCGGCATAACTCATCCTTGCGGGCGTTGTCACACTGTGTAAATTGCCCCTACTCACATTAAACATATTATTTTATCACCAGTCAAAATATGTTCTGTGGAAGTACTAAATGTCATAGTGCTGATTATCAAGTAGGACGAGTCGACATAGATAATGTGACTTCTGCGTAAGATCTTGTATATTAGGTGTTTGGGCCGTGACAAATCTATAATTTTAGGATTAGGTCTATTATTATAGTGAAAGATAAATTTACTGATACAAAACCAGATCATAAATTTGCACTTTCTCATTGGAAGTACACGTACGACGTTTTACTACATTTTCTGAGTACTTTCGCGATGGCAAATGATGTGGGCCGATTAAGTGTAGGGCCTAGTCCATTCGGTGCATTTTACGTAGGGCACCTTCCCCTCTTTTCCTAATGATATCCTGAGATTCCAACTACATTTATTTGTGCGGTGAGTCATCTCGTCTCATATAATGTTTAATTTATCGGTTGAGAGTCTCAAAAAAGACCTCTCAAGTTGTAGGAAGGAAACTTGCAGATCTGATTGTAACTAGACTTTTCAACTCCTTCTATCATCGAGATATATCTTTCAATCGATTGGCCATAAGGTACTGCTATGAGCCGCGATATCGGACGATAGCGTTAAACACTATATTTATGACATCTTCACAGATATCATTACTTTTGCTACGGATCTGCGTTACTTCTGAACCACTTGTTGAGTCGAAAAGCCCCAAAAATTACGGCGCAGAAATTATGCCCAGCTCTGTGTCCTCTTAATCTGCACCCATTTGTAAAAGTTCATCTGATAAACAATCGGCTTGTCATATCGGTTACCACCGTGCTTAATTATTTATCTTTACCTTAAGTATCCACCCGGTAGAGTGGTAGTTCATTAACTGAGCCTCAGTAAGCTAAATTCAAACAATGCTCAATCTATATCCAAGATTCTGTTGGGTGAGAACAATTGAAGAGTCAGACTTGTAACTAATTTAGTCTCACGCCCAAAAACTCAATTGTAAATTAAAATGTGCCCTAATCTCTTTCATGGATAATTGCTTACTGGTACTTACTGTTCTTTCCATAGTATGTAAACACATCCCGTATTCTTACTGGGTTACGTTTATTTTCGTACCTCGCTCTTCCAAGATCAGTATGCTCAAGCTAATTATGAGCAAATAGAAATTACACCCTTCTTTTATCTAGGATGCCTTCACAGATTTTGACCAAACAAGAGGATGCGCCTATAGAGTTACGGTAAAACATGTTCATTTAACTCTCATTTATTCTTTGATAATTCCAGTTATATGACATCATCGCTTTTGGTCATAACATATTCCCATAATCCGGCATTCAGAGTCAGTTACTGAACTTTTTGATTCAGCCACATAGTTGTATTGTGGTTGTTGTTTGACTGCTATAAAGCTACTCTGAAGATGTTCGTACAACCTTGTTAACGGACTTAAATGGCCTCGATTTCATGTCAGCAGGTAAAATAGTACCTAACAAGAAAAATTATCCCAATGTCATCTCAAAATTTTTTGAAATTTGGTGTGGAGTTTGAGGGGAGTGGTCAGCTCTTCACCTTTGAGTGTGTAAGACAAAGTAGTCATACTAATGGATTTTTCCTTAGCCAGCTGTGTACGATGATATTATTTACAAGGTTTCGCAGCAGTACGTGATGCTATCCTTCTTTACGAATTTCACAGGTTTGGTATACCTCAATCCGAAACCTCCAATTACTGTTTTCGTAAAACAGAACACTCGGGTACAATTGAATATTATACGACTGAAGAGGTTAGCAAAACGTTTCATTAATTCGTTCTTGACAGAACTGTCGTATAAGGACTGGAGATGTTGTTCAACTAGTTGAAATTCCAGTGAGTTCCTAACAAGTATTCTTCATTGATAAAATTTGCAACAATATAACCTTAACCTGGATGTAGATTTTAGCTATGCAGCTATTCGACCTAGATTTTCAGTATTATCAGCGTTAAGCAGCAACGTTTTCTACCTATACTCAAGAAATTGGGTCTTTTTTTACTTAAAGACTTATAAAGCAATAATTAATTATTATTACTACAGCGGTTTCTCCAAAATGGGTCAAATTTTCCCCAAAATTGGGAGCTCGGATTGTGAAAGAATCACTATTGAATATCGGAAACGTCTAATTACATGGACGTTTAAAATATGTAACAAATCAATTATAATATCTTAAATTTGGTGTCGAAGATATATGCTTCATATATTTGGAAAATCAAGTATCGTCAAGGTTGGAAAACGTACCTAATAGCAGTTATACTGGTCGTCTTAAATGTTACTAGATGACCTAGTTTTTCATAATTATTAAGTATCATACTTTTGTTTTGTTTAAGGTCCTATCCATCCGCCTAGGCTGAAATCATGTTATCCTATGGGACCACTCTTTGAACCTTTAAGCCAAAGATTTAATCCATAATATGTACAACAAGGCGATCTGAATTTTTCAACCGCTCCTCGCAGGAGAGTTTAGGAAAATTTCCCACTAGCTTAGTGTCTGTTTTTTGTTCACTTTGTATTTTCATCGTCTATAATTAGAAGTGAACTGACTGCAGGGATGTTGTATTCTAGATGAGGCATCATATGAGTGCGTTATAAAAGTCGAAAATTATCTTGTTTAAAGCATTTGAAGGCTATGTGATGCAATCATAACACGCAAAACCCTTTAACAGGTGTTACATTGCAATGTTTACTGATAAAATAATTTGCAGTAAAAAATCAAAACTATAATAAATACTGTTCTGACATGTTTGTCATACATTTCCATATTGTCATCTATTATGGTGAACGAAGAATGATTGAAGCTAAGATTCAGGGTTAACGGTATTAGGGCAAGGGTTTAGGGTCAGAGCAAAGGGCTAAAGTAAGCAATCATGGTTACCAATTAGCTATAGGAATTTAGTTAAGAGTAGGAGAGTGATTTGCATTATTGATGTTCATACATATGCAGATAGTTATTTGAATATAAGTCTTAACTGCTTACAAGTTAGCTGGAAAAATGCTTGTCATGCTGAGATTCTGTGGGTGTTTTAGTTTTATTAGATCCTACTAATTTTCCTTCTAAATATCATTCACTTCTCTGTCGTTGTCCCAAAAACCACTCGATGTTGTTTCTGATTATTGGTTTTGTAATTTCTATTAACTTAGGCGTCTTAGTAGCTAATTATGGGGTTTGAATAATTTTTTTCTGGTTAGCATTTTTTAGCGAGTTAGTTTTCTACGGGATGGAGACGCTAACCCCATGCCCAACCCTCCTCCTTTATCCGGGCTTTGGACCGGCAGTAGCCCCCGGAGGGACTCCAGGCGAAGTTATGGGTAGATATTAATGTATTTTCAGTTAGCTCTTATTAAGTTACAAGCCATCTGTAGAGCAGCCTGACAGCAATATCTTGAACAAATCCTGTTACTCTAGAGCCAACAGATTGCGATTCCTTATGACTAGGCAACTGATCGTGAGTCCTTTTTTCATCACCTTTATAAGTACAATAAGTAGGCTCATAAGTCGTTAGTTTGACGATGGCTGTCTACTTCCATTATGGGAACAATATAGCTAGCGACATTGTCTTTTTAATACCTTTGGAGTTAATGTCAGATTCAATAAAATGACACACCCAAACTCTATTTGAGTCAGAAGACTGTTTTGATTACTCAGAGACATTTATATAAACCAGTACTATCGCCAGAGATACTCTTGGTTCTCCCGTCGCTGCTTCATCTTTACTCGTACGTCGATATTCTGAAAAGTGATTAGTACCAACATCAGGATCAGGCTGGCAAACGTCATTAGTTTCATGTAACATTGTTTGATGTCACCTGAAAAAGCGTTCGATTGTACATACTCTTTGAAGTCAAAAACCTTTAGCCATACGTTTAGCTTTTATATGCAAGTGATACAACTTTCTGTCTCCGATTGTTGTCAGTCTTTCCCGAATTTTTATTGCATGCAGTGTTGCACACTGGTCAGGGTAGCGGTTTCACTGTTGATATGGTAGAGGACGAGAAGTCAAGTGGGGATAAGCAATTTATGGTTTAATACACAATCACAGTGGTTTAAGAAAATGTGAAAATCATACATCAAATACATCTCATTTACACATCTTTTTTGGATTGTTCCCTACCAGCTTGATTGTTCCTTCACTCCTGTTGTTATCTTGATTGTTTTCAGTTTCCTCCTCTCTTCTCGTTTCAATCTTTACCTTCCACTGTCAGGCATTTCAATTATTGTTGGTGTTATATGCTATTTATATCGACAGGCATTAGTATAAACCACATTGGCTATTAACAGAAGCATACTGAGAAGCGAAAATATTTTTCTTTATACCGAATGATGTTTGAGTTAAAAAACTTATAACTTGTTTACCTGATTTCAAGCTTATAGCTAATTTTCTGTATCTTGTAATTACGATATCCACTCATTCTTCTAGCTAGATCTAAATTAAATTCCCTGCCTTGACTCATGTACTATACGCATAATACTGTGCACTCAAATCTAAAGTTCGAAGGTAAACGTGAGATTATAGTTTCTAGAGTTTTGTTAGCATTCAGATCAGATTTGTAGCCTGGTTGTTATAACTTGGTTCTGCATGCTTGCATTTTCTGTTCTTAATCAGAATGTCATCAAATCACCGCTTCTAATCGCTGGTCTTTTTACTATTTCTTCTGTTAAGGACCTAATGATTATGTGGTTTTGTTCAGATCTTTTTTTTAATATATCCAGTTAACCCAAAACCCTTTGAATCCGTCCGTTATGACTTAATGTTCGGTCGCTTTCTTAGTTCTTCCAGTACTAAGCTGAGTTAGATAATCAAGTTTCTCAAAATCTCCCTTCGTCGTTTCTTTAACAGCTCTCTTAAATCCTTTCATGGAGGGCCAGTATTCAGTTGGATTGCCGTCAAACTTCCGTACTTCTTATATAACCCTAAATAACGTTCAACGCGGTCTGGTACTGCCTTTGACATAGGTTCATCATATATTTTAATTATACTATTATTATAGGAGTCAGGATGATTTCCTTCGTGTTGAAGTTTCTGCAGCGAATTCCGTTTCCCAAGTTCTCTCCTTAGTTTGTTTAATCCCAGTTCTAATTGCTTTTATTTTTGTACAATTTTCCACTTAAGAATCTTCCTTTTCTGACTGCATGGATAATTCTGGCGTTTCATCGTAATTTTGTTACTGAGGCAAATTAAATAACTGTCAGGTTCACTAGGATAACGTACCTGAGGTATATATGAGTCAGAAAACTGTTTTGGTTACTCTGAAACGTTTACAGAAATATATACATAAATATAAATATTGCGACAATAAATCATAATTAACGTAAGTTGGGCGTACATTCAAGGTAATAAAAAACAACAGCAGTCAATTACAAAGCAGTTATACTTAAATATGACAGGTTCAAAATAGCCGTTCAAGCAAAATGCATTTCAACCAATAAGAGTGTAGTCAGTTTATGGATAATCAATTTAACGGAGGAGGTACAAGAAAAAGAGGATTAACACTGATTACTAATAAGTAATATAGTCATAAAACAAGAATCTCAGCTGAGTTTCAGGTGTACGGCTATGTGACGTACTTTGTTAGTATCTGCAAAGTAGACATTATTGAATTAATCTGACATGGAAGTAGTTTTGGTTGAGTCTTGATGGACTACTATCTTTAAGTTCTTATGTACTCATAACAATGGGATTCCATCTTTCCCCATGGTTCTCTTTCAAATACAAGAAAACAGTTATTTTAGTTTTCTGTCACATAAACCGTAGCTCTTATAAACAATCCGAGACCTTGCAGTATGATTTTTACATACAATTTTATGTGTTCATAATTAAGTGCTTTATGATGGCTTATAAAGATAAACTTCCAGAGATCATCTTCTACCCTCTAGTATCTTTCATATTTGTCTGTATGTCCATGAATGGAGATATGGTAATATACATGTAGTTGACGATCAAATAAAAAGCTTCGTTGGTCCTTTAAATGTGGTCTCAGCCTTTTTCCACAATTTTTAAATGGACTAATCTATACTAACCAACCAGTCTGATAAGGAAGGGCAATTTCTGATAGCTGAAATGTCTGCATGCTGTATATATTGTCGAACAATAGGAAACGGAGTCGTGCTTAATATTGTATGCTCTGATTAATTAGCACATTTCAGCGGCATACTATGACTTTATAAAGTAAACTATATACATTTGTTGGTTTATATCTGTTTTTACGCATGATATTATTTATCCGTTTTTCTAATAGAATCTTTTCCAAATATTCCCAATTTCTCAAATAACGTTGATACAATAATTTACCTAATTATTAAGTGTAACAGGTAGATTTTACGGACAACTGATTGTACTATACCTTTTAGGTTATATACTTATATAGTCATTCATAAATCCTGAGGCTTTTCTTCCCTTTTAATAATCAGTTAAAAAAGTATGATGTAGATATGCTTTGCTTGGTTCATATATATATTATGTAGTGAAGCACTCATATGTCATGTAAGTATTGTCTGTTTGGCTTTTAAATAAGTATGCTTTAATTTCATGAAATACTAAAAGTATAATAGCATATATCTCCTTTAATAGAAAGCAAATGGAGTAAAGGTTACCTTTTTTTCGCCAATACTAAACGCCTCCATAAACCAGTCGGTGTATGCGTCTAAAATGCTTTGTAGTCGAAAGTTTCTCATCTGACATTTTTTGGACAAGGATTCAATCAGTGAGAAATGTTCCGGTACTATATTTAATATAAAATAGTTGGTTATTTACATTTCGATAGGAATTCATTATTACAACTAATCTGACATGCAGTAGTGATATCTGTAAATATTCCTAAAAACGGATTCTGATTT